TGTTTCAAATTCAAAGCTCGTTTACACATGCCCTGCTGCCAGTACAGTTTTATTTGTTCCGCCGAAAGGTCAGGAACGATTTCTATGAGCTCTTCAGAATCCATTTCTGAAATGAACCTGCCTTTGTGCGTTGATCCACCGGGTAGAGGAAGCTGGTTAGAACCCGTCGAAGGCACCGAGCTGGAAATCAACCGAGGAGGGGACTCGAGCAGGCTTATATCCCCGTGCTCAAATGAAGACCTTTTCGGCGTCGACGGTGTGGCCAGCTCAAAATTCATAGCTTTCCGGTCAGAACCTGGCAACTCCACCGGGAAAAATTGCCGAGAAGGAGTGGAGGAGGCTGAAGCGGATGGTGACTGCAGCCAGGGATGGGTCAAACCGCTGAACTGCGGCTGCAAGAGAGAAAGGAGTCCCGATTCCCGTTCCACACATCGAGGGTTCGTACATCTCGTATGCGGAGTTTGTGGGGTGGGCGGCCATTGTGAGTCTGCATAGATTACCCTTGACGCTGGGACAGCGCTTGTTAAAATTACATTCCCATTTTCCACCGATATATTGATCGGGGGCGGCCGCTTTTTCCTCATCATGGAGAAAGTAGATTTCTGCTCAGGTGAAGCAGAGTGGTCGCCGCCCAGATGCTGAATCTGACCAATCTTCTCAGCGAGCGATGGATTTGAACGAGCTTTGAATTTCGAGATTGGAGAGAAAAAGGAGGTCATCAAGGAAGACTAGCGGTTGGGGAGGCATAAATATCGAGAAAATTGAAGACAACGCGTAGTGGAAGAAGAAAAGAGCGCAAAGAAAAATGCAACTTGATAGATGGCCTTGTAGGAACATCCAGTATATGTTTATGAAGCCGGGCTTCATGATGGAAAGCAGCCCAATGCCAATGACACCGAATGTGTTTTACGCGAACTCAAAAGAGCCAGGGGGGCATGAGATGGGAAGCAGTCCTTCATGCTCTCAACAAGCAGTCATATCAAGCCCGAGAATTCACTGTAGAGCCATAGGCGCCGCAGATTCCAGCGAGACTTTCAGGGGGTTGATCATTTGGCGCCGATTGCGGTCAAGGAGGGCCTGAAGAAGATCCAATGCTGTAGCTCTCGAACCACCAGAATGGTCTTATCCAGTGTATGCAATTGACAGGGATCGCTCGTTGGTTGGCCGGCAGTTGCAGTGATGGAAGACAACTCATCGCTGTTGGAAACAAGGGCTTGAAGAGTAATTGGCGATGGAGAGATCTTCCCGGCGATGCTGCAGGGATTCGCGAGCTCGTTAACTAGCCCGTAGTTACTAGGCTGATTCACAGCGATGAGGTTTGAGCTTCTCTGCCGGCGGCAACAGAATCGCTTCTATTGCTTGGAATGTCAACCGCAGAGGTTCGTTTCACCAGCTAACTATTGTTCTGACTCTTCTTGCTATTGTTTATTGCCGGATGATCCCCGGGCCCGGGAGGCTGATCTCTCACAAATTTTCAAAGACGCCGTATCTCCCGCACTGCAACAAGACGATGTGAGGTCGTGCTTCCAGCGGCCACATCAGAGGACCAATGACATTTCGGGGCATCGTGCGCAGGAATAATTATGACCAGGCCAGCGGCCAGATGTTTACCGAGACTACGGTCCCTGCAAAGATGGTGCAGAGTGCCTCAGCTGCCAAAGGTCCTGCGTGGGTTCACCAGTCTCCTTTTCTCCCACACGGCTCGAGAATCCGCCCTCAAACGGGCGCCAATTCGTTAAAGATGATGGCTCTGCAGCAGGTCCTGTCTGACCAGCGATGCTTGACCGTGGAGCATTTCAAAGAAATCCCATGGCCGCTTGCGAATGACCTACTTCAGCATTTGAAGCAAAAGTAAGTGCATGGTCTTTGGATCAATGCTTCATTCTATAAATTTTTGCCCAAATAGTAACTTCTATGTCTAGCAATGCGCTTACTCTGTATATGTGGAAAATATTTGTTGCATCCTATCCTCAGGAAATGATGGTAAAGGAGCGCATATACAGGTTCAAACCTGGCTCCAAGAGAATGCAGATGCGCGAGTATTTCGGCTTGATAAACTCCGATTGTCTCCATTGGCAGACGACCATGTTTGTTTCCACCGAGCCCATGGCGCTCTCTGAGCTGGTCGAGATCTCCAATGTTTCCAGTTTAGTCTTCTTGGGAGTAACTACACCTCACCCAGGCCGGCCGCGAAATTTTGATGACCGCCCAATCAGTACGGTCACTGACCGTGTGATCAAGTCCTGGAGCGAAAGAGCCCGTGCTGGCAAGGGGTTCAGATACCTCCGCGACATGGTTTTGGACCGTCAATCTGAACTCACCCACAATATCTTTTCTTATTTGGATGCCTTTCCGGCTTTATCCGTGCTAGTTCTAAGCGGATGTCCGCATATCGATGAGGAAGGCATTCTGAAGGCCGGAGCACAGTATGGATGGCAAGCCAGCTCCTTGGATCCCCAGTATTATTCTTTCGAAAGTCTCAAGGCCGGCCATATCGGCAAACGAGGGCCCAAAAGCTTGCTGGATCGCTTCGGAAGTGAAACGACACATGACAGGCTTCCGACTTTATATTTTCATTTGGGAAACACCTCTCTCAATTCTTTATCTGACCAGCCGGACATATACCTTTTCTACAGAAAGCCAGGAAGTCCCAGCGGGAAGCAGGAATTCACCGAAAAGGCGGCCAATGTGTTGGGAGCGGATCCCCCATCGAGGACGGGCAAATCAATTCGAACACTGAAGGTTAAAGCTTCTAAAGAGCAGGATATTGTTGGGCTGCTTGCAGGCTTCAACTAATATTGATCTCTGGACCATAGCCAAAGTATAGTATGTCAACCTGTATGATGGAAATACATGGACCAGACATCCTATCCATGGCCATCGTAAACGTCTAGATTTTACAAGGCATATCAATGCTGATTCAAGTACTCAAAAGAGTAAGCTGGAACCCTCTGTAAGACGCATAGCCCAAATGATGGCCTTTTGGCTCTTTGCTCAGCTTAGGCTTAAACCCAAAGCTCGAGGTTCAAACAAGTTTCGCTTGCAAGCTGAGCTCGAGATCTCCAGGGGATTGAATTAACTAGCTACCTATCGCAAAAGCAATCAAGCGCGTATCAACTGCTTGAGCCCAATCCCAGTCATTGCTGTCATCGCCCCACTGGTGAGCATCTCGCCCTAACTGCAGACCAGCTAGCTGCATCAACTCCCTGTGCCCCTCTTGCTTTTAATCCTGCATGCCGATTCTACAGCTACATCTCTCCTCCTGTTGGAACTGCTTTATCCATCTTCCTTTGCCTCTGCAGACTTCACTGCCCAAGTCCGCTCCTGGCGGAAGCACATAGCTCGTACCCAGCCCTTGGCCGGATACTGATGAGCCAGCACGTCATGGCAGGGAACGACAAACCCACTGTCCCAGACCCGTCGAGAGATTCCGCCATCTCCTCTCCTCGCTCAAGCCTCGACTCTCGATCGCCTTCGGCCTCTCATTTCCGCTTAAACTCCCTTTCCGGGGTTTCTCCACACCGCCAGAGCCTCTCGGAGTCTCTTCGCGTCATGCCGCCGTCTCCGCGTGCACGGCGACCGTCCGTGACGCAAGCCGCATTACAGAGCCTTATCGATAACCCTCCCGCCCACAATGGCGCTGACCCGGCCTTTTCGGGCAGGGACTGGACACAGATATCGGTTGGAGAGCTGGTGGACCCGGAAGATTGCCATTTTGTAGAGGCTGATATGACAATTGAAGATGCTACAAACGTACGTTCCCATTGAGCGGTTATGAACGCGAACTACGGGCATAGGCTAATTGTTTGTTTCTGCCGTCCAGCGTCTGATCGAATGCGGAGCTTCGCTGCTCCTGATTCGGGAATCGCCAGAGCACACATCAGCAGTTGGAACTTTTGATTACGCAGACCTCAACGCTTATTTGTTGCTAGTAATCGGCATAACGAAACCGGATGATGAACATGCCGCGTCTTTAGAGGAACTCGGGAGGAAAGCAAGGGAAGGGCAAAAGATTTTACTGAGGGAGGTCAAGAATCTGAGGCCAAAGGACCCGTTTACGACGTTGCCCCCGAATGCAAGTCTGACCAAGGCCGTAGAAGTTTTTGGTGGTGGTGTGCATAGCGTGGTCGTGGTGAAAGAAAATACTTCAGAAGTTTTGGGTATTTTCAGCCAGTGGAGGCTCGTCAGATTCCTTTGGGAAAATGCCAGGAGTTTTCCTGTGATTGAGCAGCTCTATCCGCAATACCTCCGGGAATTGGGACTTGGCTCTCAGCACGTCATCTCTATCAAGTAAGTACCAAAGCCTTGATCCTATGCATCGGAAAACCGTGCTTACGTGCTTTATAGCGGAGATCGGCCATTATGCCATGCGTTAGAACTGATGAATAACGAGGGAATCTCATCGGTAGCGGTTGTTGATAATCAATTCAATGTTGTTGGAAACATATCGGTAGTAGATGTCAAGGTGAGCCCCAGGATTTCCCGTTGTTCTTCTAGAGGGTATCTTTTAATAGTCTGATAGCTTTTGACGAAGTCCACATCGCTTCCCCTTCTCCGAGATACCTGTATCCACTTTATCTCCGTTATTCTGTCGACACGAGGTCTAAACGAGGGGAAAGATTCTTTCCCAGTTTTCCATGTCAACCCTCAGTCAACTTTGGCACACACAGTCGCAAAGCTAGTTGCTACTAGATCTCACAGGTATGCCCATTGTGCCCTTCAGGACTGCCGGAGCTTTGTTAACGTAGTAGTAGAATGTGGGTGACGGATCCTCAATCCCCATCATCGTCCGGCCCTTCAACCCCCGCACACTCCTCTGTGCATATACCTCTCCCCAATCAGGCCAACCTCTCCGGGCCCGCGGCTACCAGCACCACCGGAGCTCAAATAGCTTCACCGAGAATAAGTCCCGCAGCAAGCAATCCATCGTCCCCCCCTCTCCCTCAATCCGCACAACCTCATCATCCCACGCCGATGCCGCACCCTCAAAGTTCGCCAAGTTTATACCCTGTGCCCCTCTCCTCAGCAATACCAGCCTCTGCTCTCCCAGGAGCTCGATTGTCAGGGCGTCTTGTAGGAGTCGTCAGTTTAACGGATATTTTGAATGTATATGCGCGAGCTAGTGGGTTGAAGCCCGCTGATCCTAATGAAATCCGCAACCGGCGACGGCGAAGCAGCAGCTGCAGCGTTGGAGTGCGGAAGAGCGGCGATATTGGACGGGATTTCCGGAATCGCACCGGACTCTGAGCGGAAAGTTGACGCCCTCAAGCATGAGGATCCGCCATTGCTTTTCTTTGGTCCACACAGATTTCGTTATCTAATCAACTAATCTTTTTGGTGCAAAGCATCTATTGATCTTTCTTTTTTGTTTTTTCTCTTTTTTTCCCGTCTGCTTTTGCATACCAAGCCTGGAATATGAGTTGCTCTCCACTTAGTTCTTTGCGATAATTGGACTTGGAACTAGCCGTTTCCTTTCTATGCGCTATTAACCCACCTAACTACTCTATTGGCGCTTGCTTTTTCATGGATGCTGCAACCTTGTTAGTATAAACTAGGAATACGAAGTATACATCCATGAAGCCATACAATGCAGTATCATGATGGGCTGGGCAGTTTTATTGCAATGCACTACTTGCTAACAAAGCAAGCTTTATCATTGTGACCATATGCTATTCACATGGCCATTCCACTTAAGTCTGGGCTTGACCCAGCGTCATCGTGACTGATCTAATACACCTAGTTCATTTCCGTACAAATATTCAATTTTCACTTGATAATTGCGGCTCTGAAAGAAACTACCCATGACCATGCCAACGCCTTGGGATCTCGATCTGGGGAGGTCACCCAACGGGTATATTCTCAGTATGGCGTTTATCCAGGTGTTGCTGCGATCCAATTACCGTCTGGTGAATTGCGGTGATTGTAGGGGAAGAGCGGCACAACGGCACAGAGCTCACTGGATAAAGCTTTGAGCCAATCTCCAAGGCACTATAGCGGGTGCGCAGAATGGCGTAGCCTTTCTATCTTGCAAGGAAATGCTCACCAGGCGGAGAACTTGCTGCCGAATATCTGAACTTATTTATTAGTAAGATCGGGTGAGCGAAAACGGCTTCTGGGTTATTAGAATGAGGTATCTTCTTTGAGGCTTTGGAGACCCAGTGCTACTGGTTTGTTACTCCCCGTCTCCGATCCTGGCATGTATTGTGAGCTGACCGAGCGAGCCATCTAACTTGACACTCTCAGATTGAACCGGAAACCCCCAGCATTCATATTCTTTCCACATCTGCATTGTCCTCGGAGAATCTGGGTCTGCGTAGGGTTTTCTAGGTCGTACATGCGTTAGCCGGAAGAATGATAGGAAAAGTTGGACTGGATAGTTTACCCTGGTCTACCAAAGATCTCAACAACTCGAGGACAGATAATGACGGCCGGTCGAGCGAGATCCGCGATGATCTGGCTGACTGGCGCACTAGGGAACGGCGAAAACACTATGGATTTATCATCCAGCTCTGCAAAGCCTCCAGCCCCATGTGCTCCGACGACTTCAAACCCAATCTCCTGTAACATACCCTTCGTCTCGCTCGAGTATTTTGGGTCTTGAGTAAGCAGCCTGATGCTCATGCCCCCGGTATTAGCACAAGAACGGGTGATATCAGCCAGTGTCAATGCAATTGCATGATGTATCAAAGCCCCTTCTATCACACTGGTTTCTGGCTCCCGTTCACCTTCTGGCCGAGAGCTGTTTTCTTGCCTCCACCAATCGGGCGGCTTAACGTTCAAGTCGCCTAGCCCGAAACAAACGACCTTGGTCACCCTCTTTGCATTACCAGCTCCTTCCAGTAGTTTATAAAGCTGTGCTGTGAAGGCCTTGCAAGTTTCACTCTCGCTCCATCGTTTTTGACTGATTTCAAACAGTAATCGTGCATTCTCAACGGGCCCATCGTAATTGCGTCTTGCCTGGTTGGCCCAGTCTACAAGATATGTGCAGTGGTATATCTCTGGTGGGCCCTCGGGTGTGGCTTTGACCAGGCGCCAGAACTCTTGAAACTTCACATATGATGTCCTACATCGCCGTCGTTTAGCATGGGCTCTTCTCCGTCAACTGAGCTAGGGCCTGGTAAAAAAAAAAGAGCCTTACCAGAGGGGCTTCTCCACCCCAAACATCGGATTCTTGATGTGCACAAGACTACCGTCAATACGGCGGACGGTGAACCTCTCCAGACTACGCGATTGTGCAAGTTGTTGTTCGATGTCTGCTAAATCCTCTTTCCTCCATAGTTTGACTCCTGAGTCGTACAAGTCTGCTGCGCGCTGGCTGCTCATTCTCCATGGCGAGCACCCGTAATCAAGCAACGGTTCTAGGAGCTGGCCATGTTCATCTTGTGTGGACTTCAACATCTTGGGGAGGTTCAATAGCTTGACCTTGCTGAGGACGTGAGTTTCGATATTCGAGGGACATCATCGAATTGCCAACCGATGGCGGTGGTGTGTTTAGTTAACTAGTTAACTACGCCAAGCAGGCTCCCTTTGTGTGCGCATGAGTTGCGCCGGTGAGAATCAATGCACTTGAGCAAAAAAACATACAACAGCTGGGATTCACTGTGATGATAACTAGCTACAACTATTGTGCTATTACAGGAAAATATCAGACTAACTAGAGTATAAAGCTAATAAGATCACCGCCAATTCAAAAAAACTGACTAGATTAGAATAGTTGAGTCGCGTAAAGGTTGGAATATCCTGACAGATGTGTGAGGTGTAGCCCAGGCGTGAGAAGGAAGTATAAGTGTCTTCGGGAGAAAATGTTAGTCGCTCTCGGGCACCCAGTCATAGCCGCCTTCAATAATTTCCTTTTGGGCGCGCTGGAGCTCATAACAGCTGTCAGGGTCACAGTCGAGCAAGTTCGATGGATCCGCGAGCAGAGCATGCGATGCTGGACCTCGCCATGAGCATTGACACTGTCATATATTGCAAACAGCATAAAACGGTGACCGCCAAAGAGCATTCCAAGTTGACAGTTGTCAGCAATCATTTGTCTACCCAACTATAGGATGTGTTAATCATATAATCCTCAAACACCAGGCCGATGGAGTGGAATAAGTCCGGATCTACTCACCTTCAGTAGAATTAATTTGGCGCCTGTCGCACGGTTATTCGCATCTAGAACAAGGGCTGAGCCAGTACCATTGTTCGCTGTTGCGAGACTCCGAATGGCATTACAGAAGGTATCAAATACTAGTCTGCCCTTGTGTTCCACCACCATGCGAGCTTGGCCATTCACCGACCACTCCCAATCAGCGGTTATCCCGTCGACCGGAGCGCACTGTGTAAGGCGAGTGACTTCTTCTGCCCATTGCTCCGCGTCTTGGATAAATGCTCTGGAGTATGGGTCAACGATGCGGTTGTAAAAGGATTCAATACTCCCTTTATCCCCCAAAAGCGAGACATTAATCTCATGCCGAAGTATAGGACGAAGACCTTGAAGTAGAGTACCCGGCTGGTGGTTGATATTGTTCAGCATATACTGATTTGCCCATGCGACCAGATCCCGGGCAAGGTTTGGTGAATTAACGACTCGGTTTGGTAAGTGCTCCAAGGGAACAAAATGATTTAAGGGAGCTGTTGATTTTGTATCTGTTGGCAAATCATTCATGGTACCTGATGGCGGGTTGTTGTAAAAGTCTTGAAAAGTCATGCTGTAAGACGAAGGTTTAATGTGGAGCAAGGCAAGACTTCCTTAGAGGTAGGAAGTGCTTGTATATGAAATAACTTGTTTGATTTTTCCATTTTCAAGCGTTGAGAACTTGAGGCCAGATATATATAGGTATTTCTGATATTTGTAGGTATTTCTTATATTGATATTTCTTTTATAGGTATTTCTAAATTGATGGAGGTTGATGTATTCAAGCTCCTGGAAACTGGGCTATATAAAGAGGTTGGTAGGTCACGTGGTGGGTAGCCGGATTACCTAATATAATTACCCTAAGATCCTTTGGGTTAGCTTTTTTATCTTTACTATGGACGCTCTGGTATGCCGTAGTGACCTTATCTCTGCCAGCAACTTTTGTACTCCGTACTTCATATGTAAGAAAGTGTCAGATCTCTTCATACAAATGCTATTTTGGAGCATCTAGAATTTCTCAATCATCGTATAAGCTAGAGTTCTATAAGGCTCATCAATTCATATTCTTATAGTGTAACTTTAATGAATGTGTACAAATTTTGTCTCAGAATTGCTCTAACACATCACTACATAACTTCAAATACATTATACATTGACTACTAGATAAGATCATAACTCCATCTCTAACTATAGATAATTGCGACCGTTTATAGAGGGGGAAAAAGAAAGCAGTTATGGGTCGGAAATGGCGATGGTCGCAGCATAGCGATAGTATGATGTAAAATTCTAACAGTATATGGACGAATTTTGAGTAATATTGAAGCCAAATTCTTATCCTTTTATTCCAAGCCAAGATTTCGCTCTCGCTGCACTCGAGTTAGGCCCTTCCATCATAGCCACCTGATGCGATCTGGCATCTTGCCTTTGCATGCTTCGATTGAACCGTTCAACAACTCTTCCATGATCTGACAATTTAAACGCATCGAAGATCATCCTCTTCTCCTCCGATATTACATCACCATCGGTAGCGTTCAAGTACATCAACGCAGCGGCGACAGGGAAACTTGCTAGGTGCACCCCATATGCTCCAGCAAGTGGATGCAGGAGCAAGGAAGCACCCTGGGCGATCTTTCGACAATATAATCTTGGATTTGCCTGCGGTGGGAGAACTGTGTGGGCGGTAGATAAAATCCGTAGGGTGCTGTACACAATGATGCATATTGACCAGTCCAAACACATGATATGGCACGCCGCAAGGAGATCGAGCGAAAACGACGATCGATCTGAACCGAGAGTGTAATCTGGGTTTGTGATTCCTAACTCGATGCGCCAGTTTACAAGCTCTCTTTCAAAGCCCCAACAAGTTTGAAGCAATTCGCCCCGTAGGATTGCCTGGGTTCCCGGATCTTGGCAGGCCCTCATTATATCTAGATTTTCCAGCAATGTCGGCATCTCGACGAGAATATCGATCAAGCGATCTTTTGGCGTTTTGGGAACTTCCCTCCAAGGCACGGTTTTCCATTCAGGGTTGCTTAGAACGGTCCTCTTCCGTGCCTGAATAGCCCTAGTCGTCTGTGATAGAATACCGAATTAGTTATCCTCAGGCTCGCCAAGGACTGGGGGGAGGGATATTCTAACAAGATGAAGCCTTCCGTCTACAAAAAGTTGGTGCAAGTATCCTGAAACATATGTTTCGGGTGGCTGGGAAGTCACAATAGCGAGCTCCCCGTTGATGTGGTTGCGCCAATTACGAGCCTGGGCTATTCTATCCTGGTCGTCCTGCCCAAAAAATATCTGGCGTGCATATGAGCATATGATTTTCAACGAATGAAAACGAGCGTCTGGGACTTTGGTACCTCATAAAGGCTGTACAGTCTCGATATCACGCACAACGTTGTTATGTTTTCTTTTGTTCGATTGGCGAGGGCAGAAGACATCTCAGCCAGAGAACCCATATAGTACTTAATCCCCTCTTCTATTTCCCACCGGCTATTCTTTGCTTGGCCTGCCGTTGACAGGCACACTGCAAGCATGATCTTTTTAATGGCGGGCGACGTATGGTAGAGTTGAGGTAACGTATTTGTCCAGCCTCCGCTGGCGTACTGCATGATATGCGCTGGGAACTGCTTACCTTTGGGAAGATATGCGCTCCAGAAGGTGCCGAAATAATTCTCCGCATATGCAGACCGTGCCAGAGCTGCGGGAAGGATGACCTGGGCAGATGGCTGGACGCTTCGGCGTGGCTTGCAGGGTTCAACACTGAAATTGATAAACCGGGTTTCGCGTTGGTATCCCTCACATTTCAGTCCCAATCGTAGGCATTGTCCGCATGCTGGGCGTTTCTGGTCACACTAAACGTGGCTGGCTGTTAAAATCCCGCGGGGTGGCACGCTCAGATCGATGACTTACACCTCCTTTCTTGCGTATTCTGCAAGTACCACAGCTCTTGGATCTGCCGGGAACACCCACCATCCTGTGTGTGTGCCGCAATCAAACAATGGCGCAAAACGTTTCCTTTCTCGGGGGTCAGTGACGAAGTTCTCTTGGCAATGCAGTTATCTAAGGGCTCATTCGACATCGGATTTGGAATCCTCGTTCTCTCCTCTTTAAATAGTTGGAAGACTCGACAATTTTTGCTTGTTGCGCTGCGAGAAGCATGGGGGCTAAGTCAGTTGCGCCGATTCACCTTCTGCATTTATAATTCAACACCCTAGCTTGAGGTTGTCGTGGACATGCTAAGTTTTGCGTGCTGTGTCGCTCCCGCGTAAAAACCAATCAGCTTCCAGTTCCTGGCCATTAAATCGGAGCGATCGAGGCGGCTGAGCGGCCCTTGTCCTCGTAGGATGAAGGTCAAGGATGTCGAACGGGCAGTTCAACGAGGCTTCGATTGTGCGATCCATGTCAAGCATCCCTCGCCCAATTCCAATGCCCAAATACGGGAAGGCTCCAGGGCAGCCATGCCACGATGTCGACCGTTGGGATCGCTCTTCGTCGTCGTTTGGTGGACGCGGTGGCTTGACGTTGGTCTGCCGGTCTTGGCAGCTGAGTCAGACGGTGCGCGGCTGGGGCTGGCGCTAAACCCAACCTGGAAGCTTTCCGCGCTGGAGCAAATCACGTTTCCGGAGCTTGACTAAGCGCCAGTATCAAGCAACATCTGGAGCTCATCGCGGTGTTGTCGATCAAACCGCTGCACTGAGCTATCACGACTTTTTGATTCTTAGCTTCGAAGGGCAGTGGGAATGGGAAAATCCTTCTTGAACTATGAAAGATATAAATACCCATATCTTTCTCTTTTCCTTTTCACCATGGGCTTGCCCGGCATCGTCCTCCCTCGTTCTCCTAACCTTTTCGGAATCTTGTCAGTAAATTCGCGAGATCAGTCAACTTGATCACCGTCCTCCTTGATCCAGCCATGGTGAAAGTCGACCGTCCACCGGCCAATGCTTTCGTAGCAAAGGCCAGGAAACTTTACAACCCAATTGGATTCTCCAAGGGCTACAACTTCATTCTCTTCTTTATCTTTGCTGGCGCCCTGATGGGGTTCACTCTCGCTCGATTCCAGTATCTCGACTACTATGGCATCTTTTGCGGCAGCCCGGGTATCGGCGAATGCTACTTTTTTACAAAGGGCGTTGAGGAGATCGGCCTGATTATTCACCTTGGCACGATCCTCCCAGCTTCGTTTCTCGTCTGCTTCCAATTCGTCCCTGCGATCCGGCACAAGGCCATAATGCTCCACAGAATCAATGGCTACGTGATCCTGGCCTTATCGCTCGTCAGCACCATCGGCGCTTTCATGGCCGCCAGACATGCTTTTGGAGGCAGTCTAGAAACCCAGCTGGGAATTGGCTTTGTTGGAATTCTTTTCATCATATGTATGGTTTTGGGGTATATCAACATCAAGCGATTGCAACTCGAACAACACAGAGCCTGGATGCTCAGAGGATGGTTTTATGTAGGTTATCACCGGCTGATCCTCACAAACACCACACAGCTAACTTGATTGTTTCAAGGCTTCGTCCATTATCACCCTACGGATTATCATGGTTATTATGGCAAACATCATTAGTGCAGGTGATGAATACTATAGCCCCAGGATGTGTGCGCAAATCGACTACACGCTCGGACAGAATCGAACACTCCGAAATTACCCCGACTGCGATGTCTTCTACTCGGGCGAAAATCTGAGTAAACAGGTTCTGGTTCAGGGAAAGTTCGGAAGTGGAGGCAACGCAATGACAGCCGGCACCGCCTTAGGTCTCTCTTTTGGACCGTCCCTGTGGTTAGCGTTTGCGCTCCATGCCATTGGGATTGAAATTTATGTGCGTTCTGCGAACCCATCCTTTTATCCCATTTTCACACTCGTGGGAAATTGCAAAGCTAATAAATGGTGATGCGCCTGTAGCTTCGTTTGACTCCATTCGAAGCTGAAAGACTTCGAAGCATATCTTATCAACGGCAGCAAGAAGCTGGAATGAGGAACCCTGGCCGGGCTGGATTGACAGCCGACCGCCTAGGAGACGCAACAACGTGGAAACCCGCATACGACGCATGTCCGTCGCACGACGATCCCCATGAACTCTCTCAGTACAATGGAAATGAACGAATGTGACAACCTTGACGGTCTATATATATATAGCGTGTTAGAGTATGCGTTGTGGATCGACTACAAGCCACCAAACACGTTTGACCCTTTATTCTGAACTATGTACTTCGTATACTACCCATCTTAATTCCCGTTTTTGGATCTGTATTACCAACAGATGCAGTCTCGAAAATCTCCAGATGAAATGCGAAGGCCACTTCGAATACCGGACCTTGGGACATGGTATATGTGGCTCAGGAACACAAATCGAGTCTAAGGAGCAGCCTTCGCAGGGAGCCAAGATGGTCGTGGCCTTCTTCGCCATGATCATGCATCTTCAGTGTCCCATGCGCGAGATGAAAGAGGGCAGCAACACCACATAGGAGTGCTCAGCATCTGTTCAAATTTCTACCATTTATTAGCCACCATAGAAGTAATATGCTAAACTCGCTTAGTTTGACATGAAATCCAATTCTTCCATTTTGAAAGTGCATGGGATAGTGGCCTCGTTACGAAAAACAGCCTACCTAGGACTTTTACTTGGAAAAGTGTATGAAGCTGTTTAGCGAAAGTATCTCCAAAGTGCGTTGCAGGTGTTAATTATAGATGTCTTGGGCCGTAACGATATCATTTATTATCCTCCTCCGGTGCTGTAGCCAGGACATCCTACTCATTGCCAGCCATTGATGACGACCAACGTAGCTGCATCTCGGAATTCGAGATGTGATGCTCCAGGTTTTCCAGCTCTTTGGCCGTAAACTCAAGCTTCGCCCACTAGTTAACGAAACCGACATCATCACCCCTCTCCTCGTCTCCCCCACAACGCTCCTCTCATTCTGCCTCTCTGGACTGCCAGCATCAATTCAATCAACATTCTTATCCTCCGCGTTTCTACAGTCTGCTGTTCTATTCCTGGCATTCGGGACCGCATTCAGTCTCAGACTAGCGACGGGTCACGCATCGTCTTCTAGAATGCTTCCATGCAACCAGGGCCCTTGTTTATCCGTCTGTCGATAACCAAGTCAAAGAAGCAAATAACAACCTTAAGCATATCAGATTCTACTATCCTCCATCGCAGCTAGCTAACCTACACGCGCTTTGTGCGTATCCGACGCCGTGAACCCATACCTTGCCTTGGAATCCTCGGCCGTTAAATGCCCATTGACTCGCTGCCCCTCTCCTCTCCCAACCTGCAACAAACCAGCACATTCAATTTCTAAAACCTCACATACGAACGTCCTTCGCACTGCGCCTCCCTCCCTCGCGAACCCTTAACCGTCAATTTTGACAAAACTTCCCCACCATTGATTTCGCCGAGTTTCTCCAGTGCGTAACCCTCCTTGCGAAGGTAGGGTCGTCTAAACACCCAACAACGAACTTGCAATGTCTCACTCCAATTCTTTCGGCGGAAGCCATGCAGGCCATGGCGAACGACACGCAGCCGGACCGCCGGCGTCTTTCAACAGGATAGTGGAGGAGGATGAGAATGTGACGTCGCCCACAACCTCCACTTTTCACAGAACAGGGCCTCCCCGATTGGGGGTCCAAGTGCATCATACCCTTAGTCCCGTACAGTCTGGGGACGGTGTAGGCACATTTGGGGAGTTCGGTGCCTTTGGACCAAATCCGTTTGGCGGCAGAGGCGAACAGGAGCAAGGCTCGTTCGGCCCCGCAGCTGGTTCAAGCGATACGGGCTTCCCCAATCATTACGCCTTGGGCCGCCGCACTTCAGTGTCGGCTGAATCGTTGAATCCCAGTAGCTCCGGCTCGGATTCATGGACGCCGCCTTTCCATCAGAAGAGCCCAGAGCAGTTGAGCCGGCTGAAGACTGCAGTTGCGTCCAACTTCCTCTTTTCTCACCTCGAGGAAGACCAATGCAAGACTGTGCTAAATGCACTCGTGGAGAAACCTGTTCCCGCCAAGGACATCAAGGTAATCACCCAAGGAGATGCTGGAGATTATTTTTATATTGTTGAGCAAGGACATTTTGATGTTTTTATTCACCCGTCCGGATCCGCCCAGCCAGGTCCTAATGGCCTGGGAAGCAAGGTCAATTCGATTGGACCAGGAGGATCGTTTGGTGAACTTGCGCTTATGTACAATGCTCCTCGAGCTGCTACGGTGGTGTCGACGGAGCCATCAACCGTCTGGGCGCTGGACCGTGTCACCTTCCGAAGAATCTTGATGGACTCGGCCTTTAAAAGGCGGCGCATGTATGAAGCGTTCTTGGAAGAAGTTCCTCTTCTGTCGTCCCTAAAACCCTACGAACGTTCCAAAATTGCTGATGCTTTGGACACCATCAAATACCCGGCAGAACATACGATTATTGCAGAAGGCGATCCCGGCGACGCATTTTACTTGCTTGAATCCGGTGAAGCGGCCGCATATAAACGTGGCATCGACGGCCCAACCAAGCATTACAAGCGGGGCGACTACTTTGGCGAACTGGCTTTACTCGACGATAAACCAAGGCAGGCTAGTGTGATTGCTAAAACAGATGTTAAAGTTGCGCAGCTGGGAAGGGATGGGTTCAAGAGATTGCTAGGTCCTGTGGAGGATATCATGCGACGTACGGAATATGGTGTCCCCGAAGGACAGACAAAGTTGGAAGCATCCGAAGAGTAGACTCTACACAACAGAAAAGTGCTACTGGACGCAAATGGTTGCGCGCTTTATCGCATTTTCGCTCCCTTTTTCTTTTTGAATCTTGCTTCCATATCCTCTCTGTGCCTTTATCTTTTGGTTTTTTTATCCATTTGGTGGGCATTTAAAACGCAGAATCTCAGGCTCTATATGTCAAGTGAAGAAAACTTACGTGTCGCGGCCTTGAAAGCTATATAAATATAGTTCACCAATTTTAAAAGACGAAAGTGTCCTATTCTAAATAGATGCATTCTCTCCTTCCCATTAGCTCTGATGAATCATTCTCTGCTAGTCATTTTCATTCCCCCATATCCACCATTCAAAACTCAAGTTGGTGTGGCCCTCCCTGGCTGATTGACTGGCCAGGCTCATATTTTAATGGAGGATAACAATGATAAGAGGTTCTTTTAAGGTGGTGGCAATAAAAATGCCAAAGTGGCCCTCAAATGCGCCTTATGCCTCTCGACACAAAGCCAACAGAGTATTGTAATACTATCGGCCAAACAAACATGGTTGAGGGCTAAAGGGCTGCAGGGATCAAAAGAATGAACTGCCTTCGTTGCTCGCATCCGCCTTTCGGCTCTCATCTCATACGGACACTTGCTGATAGGTTGATATGACCCATAGCATACAGGTTTCCCTCCATAAAATCATTCAAACCGCTCTCAATATCGAAATTACTGCCTACCTAAATCGTTATCGTTAATTTCTAGATGGCCCCGGGGTTTTAATTAATATTGATAGTTGCTTCTGGTTGCCTCAGCCTACGCATATAGTCGCCAGCCGGGTATCATTCAGAAGGCTCGAGCCAAAAGTCATTATAAACCATGGTATGCGAGGGCTTTTGAGTCCTTCATCCCAGTAGAATTGAAACAACGAACACGATAACAGGAAGGGAACACAATACCTCAGCTAGGCCAAAGTCCTAGAGACTTAGACGCAGCGTAGGAACTAATGCTGATAATTGCAATCAGATATAAGGAGCTCAAATTGAGCCTAGCGCGTCTGATTGTTATTCCTCGGTTTCATCAGGAAGTTGCAAGTTCGATCCCTTCCCGGGGACGTTCCTGTTTTTGTTTCTATCTTTTTTTATTGATCTTGGAACATATAGAGCAATGCACCTGTATTCTTCTGTGCACACCCTGTAAGATGCATTTCCCCTGAACCCACAACACTCGAATCACGCTTTTGCGGACAAAGGAAGGGTCTAGACCAGGTTTTCGAGTTGATTTGCCGCGACAACTTCTCGGTGAAAATGCATCGTCAAGCCCGAAGCTATATCCAAACATCCGTGCCCCGGTCACGGTCACAGTCACTGTTGCAACCTACCTCTGAATTAGTCAACTTTCAAGCGAAATGTATGCTGGGTGCACTGCTTTCCAACAAAGTGTGCAATGCAACATCACAAGTATTGTTTCAGTTCTACATAGCCATGTGGATCAAGAAATGCTAGAAATGCCCGTCGCAGAGTATAAGCTGAAAGATACAATCAATTGGATGGAGTAGGAGCATCCAATGATGGCTCTCTTGGTAAAAGAGAACGACAAAAATGTTTTTTTTGCATTGACTTCTCATGATAGATATTGGGTAGCTTTACCCGACTTTGCCAGCTTGACCCACTTCAATGAACCAGCCCCTTGAGAGCGTCTGGGCAATTAAGGAAGTGACAGAGCGAAATCTAGATGTTCGTACAAGAAGGGACGAGTACATTTTATTGAAACGGCGAGCCCCGCCTGCAGGGAAACACGGCTAGCAGAGAGACCCGATCGGGTTAAGCAGTCTTTTGAGATACAGTTCTCGACTAGTGATCAACGAAAAATCTTTTCTGTTTTGATCAAGATAAGCAGGAAAGCATGGGTCAGATCCGAAAAGAAGAATCCCATGGCGATCGTCATACTTATTTATGGCTCTAGAATCTTGTTTGGAATTCACTTTCAAGTTTGGCAGCCAATATCCTGCAGTTGCAGATTGTGGGGAAAGAGGCAATCCCTCGAATGGGGCCGATATGAGAGCCCTGTGCGCGATTATATGTGGAGACCAATCCTGGCGAATCTAGGGTGCGGCTGCACTGATAAGAGCTTCATCGGACCAAAGGCAAGTACAGAGGCGTTGCCGTATCACCAGGCACCCCCGAATTCGTAACTATCACGACGCCCAGGCCCCAGTGGTTCTGTTGCGCGGATAAAGGGCCCTTGAACGTGGCGCCGACATTGTATCTAGCCGCTTGAGAGGTATCAATAAGGAGTAGCGAGACCTTCTCATGGCGAGTCTGAAAAAAGCCATAGTCACCGGGATGTGACGAGTCGAAACACCATGGACATGTACCGACACATCAGCTGCACGTGGCTTGGCTATGCGGGGAAGTGGTCTCACAGCAGCGGGAAACCATTCTGATCTTTACTGGAAGATTTTCCCTGTGTGTCGCACCCGAGATCTCAGATCTCGCATCTCGGGGAGGACAACCGAAGGCATGCTGTTACTGAAAAGGCCGGATGGAAATAGGGGAACAACTCAATTCTGGGCGAGAAATCCCACAATCGCAGATGATTAGTTATTTTGCCCTGACGCAATGCCGGAGTGCATATTAAACGTACGGAAGGAAAATCTGATACTCTGTCGATCCCGATGCGATCCACAGAGGCGTCAAATTATGGCGACTTTCTGGATTTGCAATGGAAAACGAATTTTGGCCAAGCCATAGTTTATGGTTCGCCCTCAAAGCTATTTCTGGCGAGCTTTCGAAGCAACTCCCGTCACTGAAGTGCACACTCTTGTAGCCTTCTCCATGGGTATTGGCGAGGATGCAGGTTTGCTCCGGCTAGCATATGTCACCACCAGGCCTCCCGTCAGAGGATTCGCCCCGGTTTCGAAAGGATATCTATCATTGTGTGGCTTGGGTGGCGATCTGTGGACGAGCGCTGGTGTTTCCAGCTGTCGGGACGAAGGGACGGAAGTTGAGGAAGATTGAAGGTTGAAGGTCGCCTTGACGTAACGCAATGGTTACAGGTACAGCGCGATACCACCGAAATGCGTGTCGATGTGCCATCCGTACCGTACCGTTACCAGCCCAGTCCCCTGGGACAGAGTGTTCCATCTTCAAAACCAGCCAACTTGTTCCAGCACGTCCGCTGAAAAACGCTCGCTTTCTCAGCACCCATCCGGCTTGGAAATCTAAAGGCTTACAAGCTTTTCCTCGCGTCCTCGCGCACAAGAGCGAGGTACCGTTATCCGCAGATCCGGCTCCAATCAACACGCCAGCTCCTCTCTTTCATAGCTCCAGCCCTCCCGAGGTCAACCAAGGAATATATGAGGGGAGCCTCATAACGTCTTAGGGGTTTGAGGACTGCCATTCGGTTCCTTGTTTTTTTGACACAGCAGAAACCCTCGCCACTCCACAGGATCGAACCTGCATATGCATACGTACCCTAGTGCCGCCACTCCCGTGCCTGGATGGAAGGTGGTACAGAAGAATAGGGATGGGGCTCGAGCTGTTGGTTGGCAAATCCGGAGCTAAAAAAGGGTAAAAAAAAAGCAAAAGGGGGAAAATGGCTCTCGCGCAGGGTTTCTGCCTTGTTTTCTTGCATCTGCAATCTGGCCGGGCCTGGGTAGCTGCATAGCTTCCAATTTCTCCGGCACGACTGGGTGCGGTTGATATCCTCTGTTCTGCTTGCTACGCATGCGCTTGAGATGCTGGAAAAATATTTTTGATCTGAATTGATGCACTGTTGTAGTTGTCACAAAAACATGTTCCTCTTAATCTCATCAAAACTAGGGAATAGGCTATAAAACTATAATTAACAAGAGCCAGTATTAAAAGTGCAGCAAAACAACCACCACTCATTACAACCCTCTCCAAAAGGCAATATGCGTGGAACTCCTTAGCCCTTGCCTTGCGGCATCCCTTGTGTATACATCAAACACCAACTTTTGAGTACTCCTTCAAAAAGCTCACAATGCCTCCCACTAGTCCCATGCTGCAAAGTGTAAGAAAGACCAACTATGAAAGTGCAAAAGTCAACGGAGCAAAAACCAAAGAGGTAAAATGAATAAACAGAAATAAGCAGCTTTCTCATTAGAATAAGCATCCCAACAAAGTATAGCGGGTATGTGCAAAGAGAAATATTGCTTGCATGTCGTCTCCCTGTACGCTTCTTTTAGTTGCACAAGTCATGTCGAGCAACGCTGGAAAAAGAAAATCAATACCAGGTAACTGGCTCAACAACTGTTTTGGGTACTAGCTTTTGAAAATGGGTATCCGTCGCTCCTTTTCTTTTCCTCGAAAGAAGTGGAAACACGCCATCGCAGTACAGTGAATTCTCATGATATCCAATCAAGGCGGCTTAATAAAACAGGCATGGGGTATGTGGTGTGAGGTATAGGTAAAGAGGGTACCATGAACATAGTATGAATTTGGGGTATGGGGTTGTTTTTTTTTTGTCGTCCGTGATTGCTGGGTATCGATCATCAAAATCGACGCAATAACACGCTAATAATTAGTTAACTGAACGCTCCAAATTGGCATAGCGAAACTCTTTGAACCAAGATAGCCTTTGGGCATTAGTTAAGTGGCCTATAAGTCACTCGTCGGCCGAGTTCGCAGGCATGAACGCCGAGTTATCGAAGCTGTCGGGTTTCCAGAACCCATTATTGAAACATTCTTGCCATATATCGTCAGAGACTTCCGTGCCAGTGATGGGATCTAGCGACCCTCGACAGCGAAACCGGACTTCAGAGCTATCCAACTCGGGTGCCAAATCGGCGGAGACATCTAGTGCTGACTCAGCTGCAGAATCTTCGATCAAATCCGGAGCCACCAGCTCAGGCAAGCCTATATCGGATTCTTGCGAATTTTCGTTCAAGGGTGTTGCAGCCTCAGATAGAAACTCCGTACTGAAGTTATTTGACGACTCAGTTTCAGCAGCTGGTTCGACCGAATTAGATTGTGCATTAGTGTCAATATTGGCTGTAGGCTCCTGCAAAGGTCCACTGTCTGCACTATTCTGTGCAATTGGCTCCACATCTGTATTTCGCAGTCCAGGGCTTTCAGAATGAGACGCAATTGAGGTTGATCCAGAAGTATGGTCGATCCTCGATGGCTGTGAAACGAACGTCGATGGTTGTACGGTCAACTCGCTGGAAACCGAACCAGTTGTTGAACATCTCGATGCTTCTCCACCTTGTTGGTGAGCTAATGCTTCTGGTGCCACACTGTTAATATGGTTGCCGTGCGGGGCCACCATCGCACCGGGTTGCGCTGTGATCTCCCGAGTGTCAGGGCGGAATGAGTTGTGCCATTCGCTGTAAGGATTCCACATTACTGTCTGGCCGTAGAAGTAACTATTGCTAAGGGACGTATCGAATGCCGGTCTGCTCATTGTACCCGCAGCGGCTGATGCGCTTCCCGAAACCATCTGCTCCATCGGGTGGACCTGTGGGGCACTGTAACGCCGAATTTGGGACTGAGCTGCAGGCACATTATGCATTGCTTCTTCGTTGAAAGAGCCATATTGGTACCCCATACGCTGAACAGCCCGGTCAGCACGTCGTCGCTTTGGCTTTGCGTGTGGGGTATTTGGCAGCGTCGCGTAGAACATTCTCCGAGAGATTGAGCGAGAGTACGGGTCTGGCGTTTGGGGCCAAGTAGCACCAGGCGTAACCTCTACATTGGCTGACGAAGCTGACAATGAACGTTGTGCTGGGAAAGAAGATTCGATCGGTTGACTCATGCCTGGCAGATTTGCGCCATGGGCATTTGGGGGGAGTGCGACCGACGGGTAAGACATAGATCTTGTATTGGATTGAGGTTGAATCCATGAATCTGTTGGTGCATATGGCGGTACACTGCGGGAAGCTTCGCCGTATGGATTCATGTAACGGGGTGCCTGGTACCACTGAGGTGTGCTAGGAGCGCCATTTTCATAGCCCCGAGATAGGTACGGACTGGGGCCAGAGTAATACGGAGACCCCATAAACCGGTGGCCTGAAGTGAAGTATGAGGGATGCATGTTCAACTGCATATCGAGTTTATCATTTTGGGTCTCTAAGTTCCGCATCCTTTGTCGATGAAAGTTATCTTCTTCTTCCTCATACATTTCTTCGTTTTTTACTGCTTCTCGGGTGATCCGCAGTCCTCGGCCCGTACGAATCTTGTGGCACGTTGACGCTTTTTGCGCGGATTCGAAACGAGCTTCAAGGGATCGATCTAGGCGCCTAGAGGCAGCAATAAATGCCCTGGTCTTGATTTTAGCTACCGATCAAGTCATTTTCCTGGAGCAAACGAGCTACCTTTCTTGATTTTCCCCAGTTGACCGTTCGGTCTTCCGTTTTGCTTTCGTACGTTGGACTTTCGGCATGGTAAATGAGGGATAAAATGTGGACAAGAAGCGGTTGTCCCTAGATAAGGATGTGCCTGAGGATAACGGCAAAATATAAATGCCGACTTCTCGGCAGAGAATTAAATGAAAACACGGCGGCTCAAAGTTGACGACAGTGAGAGGAATGAGGCGCTACGCCAATACACTACCTGCTACCGGGCAGGCTCTTGAAGGGTATTAGAAGCTAGAGGGTATTAAAAGAGATTAATACATCGAAGATATATTCTGCAAGGGAGAGCAGTACAGGCGAAAAGAGGAAGACGATGAAAAGGAAGGGGAAAAAACAGCAATCGGGAGAGGGAAAGTGGGAGCTCTTAAGCTGCAAGCTCAGGTCCTTGGTTCGAAGCTCAGTTTATGGTTTGGCTCTCCAGTGGTTTGCACATACAACGGAGGAGGGCGACCTAAAGCTAATCCAGCACGTTACATGCAATGTAACAAGGTAACTATGGTGAGAATATGTATCAGGCCCCAGGATCGTTTGTGGATGTACGTAGTGCGCAACCGTGGTCAGCCTTCAAGGCGCCTAGATTCCCTATCAAAAGCCATTTACCACGGTGTTAATTTTTGGGGGAATGATCAGAACCCCGAGTTGTACATACTCACATTATTAACCTAGGATGCGGCCTTTTTCCATCTTAGGCCTCGGATCCGGGCGCGATGGCACATATGGCCTGGGTTATTTGATAATCGATCTTAATGCAGGAGGTAATTTGGGAATGATATGAAATAAACCCGGGCATGGAGTGGAGGCCAGGGATGAGCATGGTCTTCATGAGAGTGCCAGAACAGCCCGAAGAGCCAATCCCAAAGCACTTACTGGCAGGCGACTTCCTTTATTGTCGGGCTTCCATTTGAGCCTGCTTCCAATCGCAGTTACCAACGCAGTAAAGTAAGCCGGCCCTCTCAGATGTCCAAAGTACAGTACTGAGTATACCATGAGGTACATTTTGGGGGGGGGAAAGGGGTGTCCAGCCACATACAACATTGTTGATGTGACAATAGCTATTGAGCGCATGGGGGACTAGTGAGCCACCACTTCTCCAGAGGTTGAAAATCTTTGGGCCTAAGCGGGTGCTTCTGCTTTGGGGGCTCAGTTTCCCGCCTAACCATTCAACAACGGAATTGCAAGAGGGACAATTCGGGTTGTGGAGCCGGTAGTATGCCCATATCTGTGGGGAGGGGATTGCGAGCATTCCCATAACCTCGCGATCTAGAAACATGGGAAGCTGACTCGTCAATTTCACAGCAGGGCTTTTTCCACTGCTCTGCGCAAGGTTCTAGCGACTTGAATTAGGGTTATTTTGACCCAAGGGAGCGAGGTTGTCGAGCCGGCGCGACACTGGTGGTGGCTTTGGAGACGGAAGAATCGACGGCATCCCTTCGTTGGCCTTAGTTTAATCAACCCAGAGAACGAACCTAACTCAAGCAATTCCTTGGAAGAAAGGCAAATCTAGACCATCTGCGGCCATGATCGGGATTCTTCTGAGTTATCTTAGTGGCAGATCTTTCTGCGAGTTTAATCTTGTGCCCCAACCAGCATATTGACAGGACCCAAGAACTCTGCGGAGTCAGCCGGCTCTCAGCAATCCGCTCGCAGTTCTGAAGAGGCCTGTCAATTCCACGGGTCGTCGTCAGTAACTAGCCATGAGATATGCTTAGGCTTCTATCTCACCAACAGGATACGGGTCGCTGCGGGAAGTAAAGAGGATGGCTCTATAGCCATGGCTCCTGTGCTTTTCCCTTCGGCCCAAAGGTTGATGGATTTCCACGGCCCCACCACTCTTTCCCTAGACGGGGAGGGGCTCTCGTCTTGTCCCGTGATATTTATATCGACATCGGGGGATTTGGACATGGTGCCAGCTGAGTACCTGGTACCTACATGATGTTGTGGGACTGCTTCTCCAACTGGTGGCTTGAGCAATGAGGGGCACAGAAACGATGACCCGGCAAGCTCCGCGCTAAGCCCTATTTAGATTGAGCGCACGGACCCGGCCAGATCGCGCGTCTGGATTACATAAGCGACTGGAGTGGGGGTGCCGAAAGTCAAAAGCCTCCGCTGCGAGGTGTGGCGAAGTATGGCTGATGTACACACGATCGGCTGGCACACTGCGGTTGACAAAAGGGTGGGCAGCCTTTTTGGTTCGGTGAGTTTCCAGTACTTCTTCGGGAAAGTCGGGAGTTGGATCAGATTTACAAACTTGTTACCGGAGAGTGCCTAGTTGCCCCTACGGAGTCCTCCGCACCTATTTTGTGATGACGGTTTCTCCCACAATGGGATCTTGGCAAAATGCCTTGAGCTTAACATGAGGCCTCGAAGTGGCAACGAGCCCGACAAGACTCAGGGGTTGGAACTGGCCTCCTCTAATCCAGCATGTTGCCGTGCGGAATGCTTGCGGTCCTCCTGACCACTGATCTCTCCAAGAGCAGTGGCTGTGCCGCCGAGGTTTGGCCGAGTTAGCCGCCCACCACTTTTCGCTGGATGAATTAATGAAAACGGCCTTATAAACAGGGTGAATGCTTGTCGGTCGTCGAATTTGCGCAAACATGTGCTCCTCAAGCAACAGGGGCTGCAAGATATGGGGCCACCTCGATCCTGAGCTAGCTTGGGTCGTTTCTAGTTTCAACATCTGAATGTTGGTATTTCGCAGGTGATTGGCTAGGTGTTACAACCAGAAGATGTTCGGTGGGCATCCCGATTGATAGCCCGTTATACCCACAACATTCGTTGAATGTCAATTGGACAATAAAATAGAAAGGATTCAGACGTTCTTGAGCAAGGTCGTCATACTGACACGCTCATATCCATCGGGCTTTATATAATGCACAAGGCGCGCGGCAAGAGCAGGATAAAGTCGCAAAGGGTGACTCTCCAAGGCACACAGCATCAAGGAAATGGGCAAAGCACAAGGGTCTCAAAACAGGGGTATTTGTGATATAGTAATCCCTTTTTCATACGATTCCCAAGGGAGGAACATGGCCATCTTCTTGTTTGCTCTCCCGGCCCAACTTGTAGGAAATCCTGTATCGGAGCCTGACTGAATTGCCGTTACCTTGCTCAATCCCATGTAATTGCAATTCTTGACATACTCCATTCTGCTGTAATGGGCCAATTTGTCGGCCAGATTGTGGGAACAGTTGTAGCTTATAGGCCTGGACAAGTAGAAAATGTGTCAGACCAGTTTACAAAGGAAAAGAGCGACTCAAAGAAAGTTTTACCTTCTCAATTGCGACTTGGAAATGAAGTTCAGAAATCGTTTGCGTCGTATTATTTGAAAACTGCGCAATGACCTGGATTCTTTTCTCGCCGGGAACCCTCTGTGAGATAAACTCAACTTTTATTGCGGAGTTCACGACCTGTATTTGGCTGGAAGTTGGGAGGGAGTCTTCTGGCAAAGCGGATGCGAAAGTCCATTCATCGTCGCCGGATGTTTTGATTGCTGGCGCCCGCGTAGTCGGAGGGGATGACGACTGGTCGAGATCCAACAAAGACGACGGTGACGGTGAGGGCATTTGGTGGCTCTGGAGTTGATGAAACGGGGACGAAGTCCGGGAACTCGCCGATACTATAGATGCAAACGGGTCATTTTGAGGCGTGGCGGTGGATTTCGCAGGTGTATTGCTTGGAACAGCGAGCTGGGGTTGAGGCGTGGATGACAGCCCGGAAGACATGCCGATGGATGATAGGGCAGTTTGGTTTGAGACACCTAGCTAAACATTTAGATCTTCTATCACACCATTCTGTATTCGAAATCGAACATACTGGTAGCATGGCCCAAGGGTAACGATATCGAGCCACTTGGCTGAGAGGAATCTTGGAAAGAAAGGCCAAGAAGATCGTTCTCAAGAGAAGACGCGCTTTGTGCGGTATCAGCATTTCCGTTTGAAGTCGGCTCGTCAAAGTCAATAAGTGATAGCTCATTTTGAGCGGTCTTTTTCACCCCCGTGCTTGTACCAAGGGTTCCTTTCGGTATCTTTGATGCACCTTCAACGTCTCCTGCCTTGACCAACTTATAGCGCTCGATCGTGCGATGAATACTATCGTTGATTTCCAGAAGCTTAGCGACTGCTTCAGCATCCTCTGATTCCTCCTCACACATCTTTTGTATTTTCGGATGCGCACTTCGCAGTGCATTTGCAAGGTCCTAAGTATGGTTAAAAATATCCGCATATAGTGCCGTTGAAAACACCTATCATACCTCGAAAACGTCTCCTTCAGCAATCTTCTCGCCTTGTTTGTGGTTTTGAAGCATTTCTTCGAGAATTTTGGCTTTCTGCTGCACCTTTGCCACTTCCTCCGCAGCTTTCGCTCTGTAATCGGTTTTATGCTTCGTATCGTAGCCAGCCATGATTTTCATAAGGCGGTTTGCCTCCCGTAAGTCTTCAGGCCCCCCTCTGCGTATCAATTCTTGAAGTTTTGCGGACTGCGCCTCTTTTTCCTCTTCTTCCATTTCTTCCGCAGATTGTAGGTTCTACCACGCTATTAGAACAGAATCTCCATATTGAATAACATATTCACCTACATCGCTAGGGTTGAGAACGGCTGCGTCTTCACGACGGACCTCTGGGAACATGTATCCTTTGTAAAGAAGCAACCGATGCATGTCTCTGATATAGCCCAGGTCCTCCTTGTGCCGCGAGGTCTGACAAATCGTTTGTCGCCATTCTTCAATACACTCGAGGATTCTTTGTTGGACCCGGGATGGTCGTATTGGCGGTCGTTCCGGAAATCTTCGCACGAGCTCATTAAGGAACTCTTTTGTGCTGATTTGGAGGTGAAATGGATATCCGCAGTTTTTCACACAAATATCAAGCAACTATCAAACCGTTGTGTAAGTAAAGGCCAACGTATGGGGAGACCTAGGAACCTCGACGTACGGCCAAAGCTAGTAGCGCAACGTTGGCATTCCGGGAATTTATGAGTTGCACTATCGTAAAACAGGCTTCGCGAGGCCTTCAGGTTTATTAGCACGACTGATGATGCCAGGATCTCCAAGACTACTTACGCATTGCCCTTCTTTGAGTTTATGAGATCCACGACCTCCAGATTGAGAGCAAGGTTGGGTTCGAAATTCTGAGGATCACAAGCATTGTCTACCGAAAACCGACGTTAGCAGGGGGCGTAGTCCGGATTTACTGTATAGTGAAGATTTGATAGAAGGCATACGGATATAACGTTGTAAAGTTGACCTTGCGGGCTCAGCATAGGTACCGAAGCGGTCCCTTGCCGCCATCCGTGCGGATGTGGCCTCCACGTTGACGGCAGAAGCGAAATCGAAGAGTAACGGGCTTCAAACGAGAAGGCAAGGAAGACAGGTAGTTCAGGTGATACCGCAGCAACTGCAAAGACTCTTTGGAATAGCCGGTACTGTGTATCTGGAGAGTGGCTTATGTATGCACAGCTCCCACTGACGTCCCTTTGAATGGCTGATGAAATGGCCATCCAATCATCGGCCGCCCCGCCTTTGCAGCGAACCATCAACATCCAAATAGGGGCTTCAACCAGCCTCGAATTGACAACCTCAAAAGGTGCTGCCCTCCCGAAAATGATCTTAAAAATTCCTCGTATCCGTTCATTCGATAACTACCTGCTTGGCCTTTTCCTCACCTACAGGAAGCCGATAACTAACTAGTGGTTAACCGGTAATTGCACACGCAACCACGTTTCTGAACTGACTGCTTCCCACTACAAAGCGGCTTGCAATTGCCTTCGCAAGGAGTATCCGCATAGATCCTGAGCTATAAAAATACTATACTCTGCCTACCTTGTTATACTTTGTTCTTGCAACTTTTCATACAATCATGGACTCGAGGGCCGTAGAGACACATCGTATCCTCCAGTTACCTGAAGCTCTTCTACCCTGGCAAATATCCCCCCTGCGACATTCGCAAAATGCCAGCATTGTGGATTATGCCAAAGTGTACACTTTTAATCAAACAGCTTCTCCATGAATTCCGGGTTGGCCCAGAATAGTTGAACGGCCAAGGTTCTTTCAGCTTACTACGCCGCAGCCGGAATACCTCGCAAATGGCCCCTCGGAAAATGCTGGATTGGAGCTCTCTTTAGGACCTGATAGTCGTTGAGTTTGCAGGTGAAAGGGTTGGCCCTTCAATGTAGCGCACGAGACACACGTAGTATCAACAGCATCACGGAGGAGTAAGGCAACATGTGGCTTTTAGCTTGAATGAGTAGTTTGTTCTTTTACTCGATGCAAGAGCAATACTCCTAACCTATATGGCCAAATGGCAAAAAAGGGGAATGGGACAACTTGAAGTGAGCAAATGGTGAAGCTGATTGGAGCTAACAGAGCGCTTTACTAAGCACCTTGTCCTGATGTCACTGAAGTATCTGAGGTCGTGTGAACCATCAATCCAACGGTCGCTACAAAATATTTTACTCTCGTTGACTCCTACATCAACAATGGTTAGGCATAAGAAAGATAATCTAGCGAAGCGAAGTAAGCGTGCATTTCCAGATGGCCATCGACGGCTCCCTCCCCGCGACCCAGACAACGAAAACGATGATACCCCACGGGTTCCTTTCCACGCCGCTTGTTGGGACTTAGGACATTGCGACCCCAAGAAATGTTCCGGGAAGAAACTGATGCATTTTGGGATGATGCGGGAGCTCCCTATTGGGCACAAGTTTCCCGGAGTGGTGATATCGTGAGTCCGTATCAAAATTAAGGCGGCTCCAAAGTGCTCCTAGCTAAACTTGCAGTTTGTAGCCCGAATGCGAAACACACCCTTTCTCCCGCTGACAAGCCTCTGCTTGAACAATATGGCGCGGCCGTTGTTGAGTGCTCTTGGGTTCGAGTGAAGGAAGTTCCTTGGTCAAGGATCGGCGGCAAATGTGAACGGCTACGTGAGTGTTTTATTGTTCCTTTGTTAGGGCCCGCTAACAATTGACTTCTCCTAGTCCCCTATCTAGTAGCTGCGAACCCCGTCAATTATGGCCGGCCCTGGCGACTGAATTGTGTGGAAGCACTTGCGGCATGCTTTTATATTTGTGGCCACGAAGATTGGGCGACCCAAATTTTGAAACACTTTAGATACGGCGGGCCATTTTTGGAGATAAATTCGCAATTACTTAAACGTTATGCGGCGTGCGAGACAGAGGAGGATATCAAGGCTGCCGAGGAAAAATGGCTTGAAAAAATAGAGAGGGAGTACTCGGAAAGTCGGGCAGATCGTGTGGAGGGCGATATTTGGACGACGGGGAATACAAACCGAACGGGCTTCGCGGATTCTGAAGAAGAAGATGATGATGATGATGACGATGAGGGAGATGAAGAGTTGAAAGACAACGAAGAAAACACATTTGAAGAGCGCGATCCCTACGCGATGCCGGAAGACTCAGATGACGAAGAAGAGATGGCTGAAATTCGTCGCAAAGTTCTTAATTCGAAGCCCTTCCAAAGTCTTAAACAGCCCGATGCAAAACCACCAGCAACTGTTCAAAATTCCATAACGTCGGGAACAGAACGTGGAGGGGATATGGAGGATGAGGAGGACGAGGACGAGGATGATGATGATGATGTAGCATTTGATAAGGTGATCAACGCCACAACCACGACTGATAGAACTGGGATACTTGCGAGGCAGCGCCAGAGGGAACAGCAAGAGAGGAGCCTCGCTTTCTCACGAGACTCGAACGCCGGGTCAACCGTGCGGTGATCATCAGGCTGAAGCCTCCAAAAGGACGGCATATTGTATATACTACGAAACTGGTACTTGCGAATGGGAAAGTAACCTTCACCCTGGTTTTCACAGGCAGTCAACTACATATTTGGCCACTTCTACCTTAAGAATTGCCACCACCAAACACCTGCAGCGCCCGTCGATCCCGGCCCGAAGATTGACCCGAAGCCCTCGTTAGGCGCGACTGGCCAACCCCACCGCCCTAAGTGAATCCGACACCTCGCTCGCGTTCAACTCAGCACTCTGCGACTGCTTGCGCCGTTCTCCAAAGTACGAAGCGTTCCACGGAGTTCCGCCCATGACATCTCCTCGGCCTCTCGCATGCACGCACACGCACTAGACCACCCCTAATCACGTTCCAGGTCAATTCACAGCGACTGTCTCGCGAATCTTCGGTATAGTTACCTACCCTTGCTTCCACTTTGCCTATCCCACGCCGAGAAATTTTATTGTCGTTTCTATTCACCGCGCATGCTTTGCGGCTCTCAAATGTTGTTTCCAAATCGAGACCTTGAGACTAATCATGAACATTAGTCTCGTGACCTGCGCGGCCAGGTCAGGGCGAAGATGCCCGCCGTAAATGATGACTCGAGAACTCCAGGGATATATCCGGAGCCTGGTCAGCCTACATTTTTCGACGTAGCAAAACCGCAACTCCCTTCCACCGTCGCTCCGAGGCAAGTGACCTTGCGGGATCGCGTTACCATTGCAACTTTGGTGCCGTTCTCCAATGCCTCCGACTTACCGCACTCCCTGTTGGTGTACCTATGCGACCAATTGAATAAAGAGATTGAAAAGGGGGACACGTATCCAATGGACCGTCCTCTTACTCTGGAAGAATTTGGTCAAGACTGGTTCTCGCATTTCGGAGCTGTAATGCTTCTAGGTGAGGTCAAGGGAGTTCAAGATGCTCAATCCATGGGCTTGGCTGGAGAGGACTGGAGGAAAACGTGCCTAGGAAGCTTCAATATCAAACCGAATTACCCAGGACGAAGCAGCCATGTTTGCAATGGCGCGTTCCTGGTCACGGATGCATCGAGAAACCGTGGTGTGGGCAGATTGATGGGAGAATGCTACCTTGAATGGGCACCTCTACTGGTTAGCGACCACCGGGATTGATATTTATCGTTGGGGTACGTTCCAGGTCACTGACTAGTGCAGGGTTACACGTATTCTGTATTCGACCTAGTTTACGAAACAAATGTCGCCTCCTGCCGTATATGGGATGCTCTTGGGTTCAAGCGGATTGGAAGAGTGCCCGGCTGCGGGAATTTGAAATCAAGTCCTGGCCAACTGATTGATGCAATCATATATGGTCGTGATCTAGGCCCCGAGGGCGAAGATTTCGTCTCAGAGGAAAGATTCGACAAAATTAGATATTATCTCAAGCATTCCAAATACCCAACTGGCGCGGATCGAGCAGAAAAGAGCCGACTACGAAGCGCGGCGACCCATTACAAGCTTGTCGGGGGACAGAATGGAGAGCCAGAAAAGCTGATGTTGAAGGACAAGGAGGTGGTATCTGATCCTCAACAACAATATGAAATAGCCCGAAAGATCCACGAGCAGCAACACGGTGGAATCAACAAGACGACCGCCAACATTGCCCTGAAATACCACTGGGTCAGGATTAAGGAGACTGTCAGTATGGTGATAAAGAATTGCGAAAAATGCAAGGAATCGCCCAAGGCCCCAATTTCAAATTCGGACGGGTCAAGTTCGAAACGGGAAAAGTCGTCAACGCCAAGAGAGCGGAAACAAGATGTGTCCCCGAGTGGCTTTGGAACGCCTCCGGAACAACTCTCAAATGTTCATGAATACATCAAAGAGGACCCGTTTGGTGGGCCGAGCCCTCCGGTGTTACATGGAGCAATGGATGACATTAAATTCCAACCGGATCCGGAGGAAATACCAGATTATGCTGACATTCCTCTGGACCCTCAAATTATGGATGATATTCAGCATCACCTACCGTCCTTTCAGCGCCATAACGAAGTTGACCTCTATGAACCAAATAGCCTTCATCAAGCCCACGAATTGGGCCACGGGTTTGATCACGCCCATCTAGAACACCACGGCTCCCCAAATGACTACCGTATGGTTGAAGATGACAACGGGATAATAGCTTCTCAAGCCGCTGCGGCCCTGCGAGATCAGGCGATGCACCTCGTCGATACCTCTCGACTTCATAACGAAACGCAGTTGCATCCCTTGCAGCAGCTTTTGACAACCGGGAAGAGCCGTCACAGTTTGACGGTAGATTTTGACGATAATTCTGAGGCTTACTTGTAATATACCTGGGGTTTTGGCGTAGTTCCTGTATCTCTTTGGTGCCGGAGTACTTGGGTGCAATTTTGGAGGTTTCTGCTCCTGGGGTTAGATGGGATAAGGGCAGGGTATTGTTGGAGGCGTTGGCATATACAGGGTCTGGCTCCTGCAAGTGTGGTATAACGACTGGTAAAATCGCGTCCTAGAGGATACGAAAGTCTTATCCAATTGAATTAATAAACTACTAATACTGAGAGCACTCGAGCATCTTGATCAAGAACTCTCAAATGCTGTGTTTGGTTGGTTTGATGCTTCAGGGCCTCGTCTGATTCGTCAGGAACATTTCGTCGTTTGAAGCTCAATTTTCTGGAGCTCTTCACCCCACGCTGGGCGATGGTCAAGCAGATATACCACGACTTACACCACCCGTCCCTATTCATGCTCCATCTAAATTAATATTCCGCTTCCTTTTTTTTTTTTTCATAAAATCAGGATCTTTCTCACCGTTTCAATTCGTCTTTTTTGACCATGGCCTTCAGTGGTCAGACACCAACAATCATTGTGCTGAAAGAAGGTCCGCAATCACTGCCTGAAGCCCCTCGTTTCAAACTACCATTCCACCGCTTTATCTGTGGAGGTTACGAAGGGATTAGTGTCTAGACTGACCTTTCTCTGTTAGGCACGGATTCATCTCAAGGAAAAGGTCAAATATTATCGAATATCAACGCGTGCCTTGCAGTTCAGTCCACAATCAAGGGAACCCTAGGCCCATATGGCGGAGACGTATTGCTCGTGGATTCGAACGGGAAACAGACCATTACGAACGATGGAGCGACAGTAATGAAGGTTGGTTGTATATCCTACCCGCTTTCCTCGAAACGAACTCGGGAATTAACGTTGCTACGAATCGTGTAGCTGCTTGACATTGTCCACCCCGCTGCTCGAGTCCTTACCGATATTGCACGGTCGCAAGATGCTGAAGTCGGTGATGGCACCACGTCCGTGGTAGTATTGGCGGGGGAGATCTTGAAGGAAGTCCGTGAATTTGTGGAACAGGGCGTGAGTTCACAGACGATCATTAAGGGGCTGAGACTTGCGAGTGCAATTGCAGTAAACAGAATCAAAGAGATAGCGGTTGATATGAGGGATACGGGTGAGGGGAACACGATGCAGGTCGAGACCCTGAGGCGATTGGCGGGCACGGCAATGAACAGTAAACTGATTAAGCGAAATGCGGAATTTTTTACAAAGAGTATGGACTCCTGCCTTCCACGGAGATCTTCTTCTATGACATCTAGCTGACACGGAATATAGTGGTCGTTGATGCCGTTTTGTCCTTGGATCAGGACGACTTGAATGAAAAGCTTATCGGCATTAAGAAGGTCACTGGCGGCGCCTTGCAGGATTCCTTATTTGTGGATGGTGTCGCATTCAAAAAGACCTTTTCTTACGCAGGTTTCGAACAACAACCCAAATCCTTCAAGGATCCAAAAATCGTCTGCCTCAATGTCGAACTTGAGCTTAAGAGCGAAAAAGATAATGCGGAAGTTCGCGTGGAGCAAGTATCTGAGTATCAGGCAATTGTGGACGCCGAATGGCAGATCATATTCAATAAACTCGAGGCACTGTATAAGACAGGGGCAAAGGTCGTGCTGAGCAAACTTCCTATTGGTGATCTGGCCACGCAGTATGTTTCCTCCGACGATATCCTGGGTTCGTCTACGCTGTTCTACTAACGATGTCACCAGGTACTTTGCTGACCGTGATATTTTCTGTGCGGGCCGTGTGTCTGCCGAAGACATGGAGCGTGTTAACCAAGCCACCGGAGCCTCCACACAATCGACTTGCTCTGACATTCAAGACCGTCATCTAGGAACTTGCGGCTCTTTCGAAGAGCGCCAAGTCGGAGGCGAGCGATTCAATATCTTCTCCGACTGCCCGGCGGCCAAGACTTGCACATTGATTCTTCGTGGTGGCGCGGAGCAATTCATCGCGGAAGCCGAACGCAGTTTACACGATGCCATCATGATTGTGAAGCGAGCGTTACGCAACACCTCGGTTGTGGCTGGCGGAGGAGCGACGGAAATGGACGTTTCGAGCTACCTACATTCGTATGCCAACAAGAGCAAGGCCGTCGCCCATAAACAGCAAGGTATTGTGAAGGCGTTCGCGAAGGCGCTTGAGGTCATTCCACGGCAATTGTGCGACAATGCGGGTTTCGATGCCACTGATATCCTGACCCGTCTTCGCGTGCAGCACCAAGCTGGCAATGTGTGGGCCGGCGTCGATTTCGATAATGAGGATGTTAGGGATAATATGAAAGCGTTTGTCTGGGAACCGAGCCTGGTCAAGGTCAACGCCATTCAGGCGGCGATTGAGGCTTCATGCTTGATTTTGAGTGTTGACGAGACGATAAGTAAGCCCTCCTGCTTGATATTTCCTCCATGCTTTGTATTTTGTTCCCCACGAGTCTAACACCATTACTCAAACAGAGAACCAAGAGTCTGCCCAACCACAAGCATCAGGGAAGCCATTGCCAGCGGGAGCAGCGCAAAGAGTGTTGAGAGGGAGGGGACGTGGCATGCCTAGACGGTAACCTGATGGTCGCTAGGTAACTAGATCAAGCAGATAACTACACGAAAAATAAAAGACATGCTTGGATGCTCCTGTTACATAGGCCTAGTTAATGTAGTTATACAAGCAGACACTACAGGCAAAGCGTGACACAGTCGGCGCAACTGTGGTGTGTGGCAAAGAATCTTCATTAATCATCTGCTGCCCTATCGCGTCCAAGCCGCATTAGCCTGGTCCATCGGTAAGGCCGTCCAGTGATCCATGTCCCTGTCACTGGTCCCCTCGACAGAACCACCACAACCCCTCATTTTCACTCGACGCTCTGTGGATTGTGTCGCGCGGCCCAGGAACATTCTTCACTGCTGCTCGACCACTTCTTGCCGGGCAAGTCTGAGTATTTTCCCCGTTGCTGTAGTTATCGGAACTCCCCGCGCGCTGTCGGCCGGACTCGCCCCTTAACTATCGCTCTCCCCGACTCAGCCGCGCTTATAGCTCTTCCTCTTCGTATTCTTCCTCTTTTTTGTTTTTTGATCTCCGCTGGCTAGGTATTATTCAGCCATCCGTCACTATTTCAATTTTTTTTTTTTCCCTCTGGGATTTTTGATTGAAAAAGTTCATCTTGTGAAGAAGGTTTTGCAATCGATTCTCTCAACGACTTCCTTCGATTCTGTGAGGCGGTTGTCAGTAACTTCGGCCACTTGGAAGATCAGCCTTGCTGGGCTAGTTACCAAACGCCGTTCGCCAGCCTTTTCCGTTCCCCATTGCTTTCCTTCTTTCTTGCATACCTACCGGCATCGTCATGTCTTACTATCCTCCGCCATCAGGCTACCCGGGAGGCCCGCCGACGTATCCTCCGCCGCAGCAGCAGCAGCAGCAATATCCGTCGTATGGAGCTCCCCCGCCTCAATATCCGTGAGTTACATTTGCATTCGCTTCTTCTATTGCCCTTTACTGATATTCTATTAGGCCTCAGCAAACGTATGGCGCACCTTCCTACCCACCGCCCGGGCCCTACGGACACCATCCTCAACCCGCCTACCCCCCACACGGCTCCCCGTACGGCCACACACCTTCTCCCCAGCCCCCATACGGAGTGAGTAATGTATCCTGGAGGTTCGCGACAACTTGGCTAACGGTGGAACGTCCATAGCATCCTCCACCTCACCATCCTCCACCTTCACCCGGCTACGGCCACCTACCCCCACCAACGCCTAACAGCGGGCCTGTTTTCCATGGACAACCTGGTAAGTGGGCGTTGTCTTTGTGAATATCGTATATTTCTCACGTATTCTGCAGGTATTGCCACGGTGAGCAATAACGATTATGTTCATGGAAATCACAGTGCGCCACCTCCTCCTCCATCCGGTGCCGTCGCATTCGGCCATGGTGCTCCCCAGGGATATAGCTACCAATACTCGAACTGCACTGGCAAACGAAAGGCTCTGTTAATCGGAATCAATTACTTTGGCCAGCGAGGACAGCTGCGAGGGTGCATCAACGATGTTAAGAATATGTCGACTTACTTAAATCAGAGATTCAACTATGCGAGAGAGGACATGGTGATCTTGACCGACGACCAACAGAACCCAATGAGTCAGCCTACAAAGGCCAATATTCTGCGGGCAATGCACTGGTTAGTGAAGGATGCGAGGCCAAATGACTCCTTGTTCTTCCACTATTCTGGTGAGTCGTAGAAAGCGGCCTTCCAAGTCGTATGCTTGGTGCTAAATGTTGTATAGGACATGGCGGTCAGACCCCGGACTTGGACGGCGACGAAGACGACGGTTACGACGAGGTTATCTATCCCGTTGACTTCAGGAACGCTGGCCATATTGTAGACGACGAGATGCACAGGATTATGGTTCGACCTCTACCGCCTGGTGTTCGCTTAACAGCCATCTTTGATTCTTGTCACTCTGGCTCCGCTCTCGATCTTCCGTATATCTACTCCACGCAAGGTGTTCTCAAAGAACCCAACCTCGCCAAGGAAGCTGGTCAAGGGCTTCTTAGCGTTGTCTCTGCATATGCTCGTGGAGATATGGGCAGTATGGTTTCGACTGCTATGGGATTCATCAAGAAGGCGACCCGAGGAGACGAATCGTATCAAAGAGCTAAGCAAACGAAAACTAGCCCCGCTGATGTCATCATGTGGTCAGGCAGTAAAGACGTACAAACCAGTGCGGACGCAACTATCAATGGCCAAGCAACCGGAGCGATGTCATGGGCGTTTATCACGGCCCTGAAAAAGAACCCTCAACAGAGCTATGTCCAGCTGTTGAACAGCATTAGGGACGAGCTCTCATCCAAGTACTCACAAAAGCCCCAACTAAGCTGTAGCCATCCACTCGGTAAGATTTGATTTCCTTGGTGCTCCCTGCCCTAGCCAACTGGGCTAATTATTGCTCATAGATACGAATATCTTATACGTTATGTAGAAGCCAGGTATTCAACCCCTCAGTCGTGAATACATCTCAGCGGCTTTGCGAACCAATGATTGGCGTTGGGACCAAGTTTCAGTTTGAGGGACTCGATTACCCTCTCTTCGGGGTCGTCCTGCCCTTTTTATATAGCAATGAATGCTTGTTTGCTAGTCTATTATCCTTGTATAGTGATACCTATGTCCGTATTTAGTGCACCTAACTCCCAACATGCTTCCCGTTTTTACTATCAATGTTCCTGGCTGAATCCTTTTGTTTATGGGTATTACCTTCAAATATTTCCAAGGTTGGGTGGGCAATTAATGAGAGGTCATAGGATTACGGGGACATAGTGCAAGTCTTCCTTAGGCGTTCAACTCCGCCAGTTTTCGGCCTTTTTTTCCTACTCTATATGTTGACTTCAGGGCGCTGGTCGATATGGGAGCAAAAGCAGTGACGGAATCGTAACAACCAGGTATCGCTATATTAGTGCTAGGTTTGCTATGGAAACGGGTCCTTGAGATGTCGTTACATCGTAGCATCTCGTTTTACATGCAAGAAAAATAATAATGTAGGAAAAGGTTGTAGAAGGTTATTCATTTGGCGAACGGAGTAATAGCTCCAAAGCTGTCGATAACTCCCAAATTCGACGGACAGAACTTTACACCTCCCCAACCACATTTAATCACCACTACCTCGCGCATGTTCGAGTTACATACTGTTCACCTACACCCCAAAATCCACGCCTTGAAGGCTGACCTTCCCCGACCGTGGACATCCGGTTTTGACGGGGCTGCAATGGGCTGCTCACCGGCGGACAATGGAGACTTTCCCGCCATCATATGAACATGCCACAGCGAGAGATGTTTGGGTCATTGTCGCGCTGTATGTTCCGTCAGCGGACCTTTGCGCTGCATGTCGGGTTTCAAGGCGATGGAATGAAATATTTGCTCCACTCCTCTGGGGGGCTCCAGCGTCGCATTTTGGGACGGATAATGATGCTTTATATAGTACGCGAACCACTCGTTGCTGATTGATGCTTTCAGATGGAAGCGATTGGGACTAACTGGCTGCTCTCCTTGTGCTTCCGTTCTTTGTCAACAGTCGCTCTGAAGCGATTCAGAAAAACACTGAAGCGGTCACGCTGTTGGGTCAGAGAACTCACGCACACGTTGCGCATCCCTCCTGCTCTGTCGGAGGTATTCGATGGGCCGAAGAAGACTTGGCTGCTTGAATTGCTCGAGTTTCTGCCCAGGTTGCAGTCGTTGATTGTCTCAGGATTGCCATGTTTCGATCACAGCTCCCTAGTTTGTTTGGACCACGCTGGGACTCCAGCCCCGAAATATGATTTACGTTTACTTCTTGCGGATTGGGGGCCCAATACGACGTCAAGGGGACTCATCAACGCGTTATGGCGTTTCCCGCAACTGGTTTACTTGGATCTATCCTACACTGCAGCCGCTAGGGACGGGCGAGTGTTGGCAGCCTTTTCACAGCTGCGGAGCTTGCAAGTTTTGAAGCTCCGGGGAATCGGATTCGGGGACAGTGGACTCCAAGTTCTGGCAGATGCTATTGGGATGCGAGTGAGATTCCTGGACATTCGGAATAATTCCCTGAATGATAGTGCGTTGGAGTTTTTGATACAAGACCATCTGCTGACGCCTGAGGAGCATGTGAACTGGTCTGAATCCGTGGAAAGATATCAATTCGAATGGCGATTGCTAACGACCCCTTTCGGGAATGTTTTGACGTCAAATTCGTTCAAGAGCAACCGTCTTGACGAGCACTTCGCTAGACAGCTCGCTATGCCGCTTGACGGCCGATCTTCATTGGATGATATACCCCGTATTGGAATAACACATTTATATATTGGCGAGAACAATCTAACCTTGGAAGGGTTGGCGAAAATCCTCCAGTCTGGCAGGTTATGTGTTTTTGACGGTGGAACTGTTGCTCCTGCGAGAAAAGAAGAGCGTAAGGGAGATATCAAGCCTGCCAGCCTGCCTGGCGTGGAGAAACTTATTGCTACTCTCTCTCAACCTATAGCTAGGAACCTTACATATTTACGGATTCACCACGCCATAGTGACAGGATCCGCTCAGGCACGGGATGATGCGCCAAATGCTCCTGAAGCCATGCCGGCGAATCCGCTTCTGTCGTCTGCTCAACAGCGGAATAATCTTATCAAATGCCTTATTGCCAGGCGCCCTAAAATAACAGCACTACCGGGGCATAATGACAGTGACATTAATATAATTTCCTTCCACCCTTCAAGTTGCCCCAATCTGGAAACACTAGTCCTTACCGGCCTCCCGTCAACCGTGTTCGCCTCCTCCCCTATCCTAGAATCCTTGAAACGATTCATTTCAGCTTGTGCCGATGAAGCCTTGCTCTCTTCTTTGCAGGCTAGATCGGACTACTCCCTTCCACCAGCCTGGAATCGGACAGAGGCAGAAAACCAGCGATCAAAATCGATCTTCGCTCTTAAGCTGCTGGTTCTAGAAATCGCTCCTTTGTCGAAAAAGGAGAAACTAGGTTCCTGGATTCCATCAAGTTACCACAGTCCTGCGCATTTGAAATCTAGCACGGGCGACAGAGATTCCGAAAACCTGTGGACAGCTGCCATGCACGATTTTAGTTTCTTTGGGAGGGAAGATGACGAACTCGTAGATATCGAGCGTGACAGCGAAGATGATAGCCATCCTGTGACCGGTACGTTGCCAAAGTCGCAAACAGCAGATTCACTGTCGATTATATCAAAAGGGCACGCAAAGACCGACACTCCTCACATATCTACCAACCCCCCTGAGAAACAAATAGACCTGGTGGCGGCGCTGGCATCTTTCCGCAAAGAAAAGAGGATGGAGTATAATGAGTTATTTTGTAGTATTCAGCGGAAAGAAGAGCTGATGGACAAGACACCAGGACAACCTTCGTCTTCCACGGGATCGGCTATTCCAATCTATGTCGAGGGCCATTGGGACGGGGAGGTACGGATTGTGAGGAATTAAAGTAAAAGAAGGCTTAGAATAGGAGGGAATATCTATCGCGAGTCTTAAGGGGCACTCGTTACTCTGCTGGTTACAATACGGAGTAAAATGAACCTGACCTGTGGCATTGTTTTCTTGGACAGATTTTGGAGGTGGCGTCATATTGAGCATGAATGTTTTTGAAACTTTCAATCCATTACGGAATATCATACGTTAGGCATCAGTTGGAGCTCGGGAGACATCAAAACAAGTCATGCATTGTATACAGAGAAGCCGGGATATTGTAACCGGCGGTCCCTGCTAATTGACACATATCCGTTCCTGTTAAAAGAAGGAAATGGTACCTGCGCGCAGAGAAATCCGAGCAACGAAACATAGGACCCCGTTCATATGTTTGTTTAAAGCCTAATTCGTCGATATCCTCGTTTCCCCACACAGACCATGGTGATTTTGGTACCCTCCGCCCCAGACACCCCAAAACCGGTCATGCCCATAATGGAATTGGGGAAGAAGGAATTTATGGCTTAGCAGTCTTAGCAGCCTGCTGGGGGTTCAACTTCTTGGCGTCCTTTTGGAATCGAAGTCTTGGTGGTGGCGCACGGTTGCGGCGGCCCTCTCGGGATCGAACACTAGAAAAGTTCAAAATCAGTATCAATTGTAACTTCTCCCACTTTTGTAGAGTTCGCAGCGCTCGACAATGGCTGGGAATAGCGAGGACAAAGGCAGGCTTCCGTACCGCACAATCTTTCCGTGAATAGCGCAGGAGACGCAGTACTGGAGCTTCAGGTACATCTTTGGGACAGCATATTCCTCGAAAACGGAAGCCTCGGAGATATCACCTATACAGTTCGAACAGATTCAGATATTAGCCCATTCGGCCCCTTCATAACTCTCTACTCTGGGCAAAGCCATATTGTAAGAGCGCAAAAACGAAGTCAACGGCTAGGCGCAACGTACGGACAGCAGCGGACTCAACCATGTTGCGGATTGTGAATCTCTTGATGGCCTTGTCCTTTGGGGTGCATCTCGAGCAATTGGAGCATCGAATCGGCTTAACGTGACCGCGTCCCTTCTTGTTGCGTCCGCTGTACACAGAAACGAAAGAAACCGTTAGTTTTCGCAAGTTCCGTCCCCTGGTTTAGGGAGATTGAATGGCTTGGTCACCCACTTCGACGCCCGCTTCTTGACCATGTTGGCGGTAGTTCTTTTTTTTGACTTGCTACGTCAAATGCGACAAACGAGAATCTTCGGGCGCGAAGACGACAAGAGCTGCCCTTCCGGAGTTGTTGGGTGTTTTGATGTCTGTCGGGAGGTCGAATCTTTCTCGGTTCTCTTCCCAACCAGCCGAAGCTCGCGTCGTTGTGGGCAGCAGGGCTAGAATTCCTAAGCGAGGCTAGTGGGTCACGGGATCTAGAGCCCGGATTGGGACTAGCATGCCAAGACCATACACATGTCACATGATGGCCTGGTCTGTGCGCTGGATACCCTTGTCAACAAAACGGAAGGCACGAACGAATGGCACCACCTGACTTGTTGGGCCTGTCTCAGTCGGGAATTTTCGAGATCAGGCGTCCCTGAGCTGACCGTCCTCACGCTTGTTAGAGACCGACTGTGGAAGAGCTGGTGCCTCTTAACGTACATCCCTGAATACTTTTACGCTCGGTTGAGTTTGTTCCCCCTTTTTGCAAAATGTCGGGTACAATTCGAAATCGAACCATGGGTCGAGGGCAGCTTCCGTTCGATGGGGCTCCCTCCGGTATACCTCGCAAGGTTGACCACCAAAGCTCGCAGAGCATGCCATCGGACGTTGGAAGTTCCACATTGAGTGTCAGCAGACAAAAGCAAACAAAGCGAGATGAGGTACTTCAGCCCGCTCGGTATCTCACTTGGTGATAGCCCAATTGGCACTTGATTTTGAATCATGTTGTCTCTGCCGTAGAATATACAACGCTGATAACCTGGAGCAGGCAATTAGGAAAAAGATGGAAGCAGACCTTAACAAGAAACGATACAATCCGGCGAGGGCCCGATCCACCCGCAAAGCCCCCCCCGGCACCGTCCTTTCCCTCAAACCTAGCCAGGCACTTCAGATTAAGCCAAGTACCACAGTAGCGGAAGCTGCACAACTGATGGCAGCGAAGCGAGAGGATTGTGTGTTAGTGACAGACGACGATGAGCGCATCGCTGGTATCTTCACGGCTAAGGATCTGGCATTCCGCGTTGTTGGGGCAGGCATCAGGGCGAGAGATATCACCATTGCAGAGATCATGACGAAAAATCCGCTGTGTGCCCGGACTGATACTAGTGCAACTGACGCGTTGGATCTGATGGTCCGAAAGGGTTTCCGCCATTTACCAGTTATGGATGAAAATCAAGACATCTCGGGTATCTTGGACATTACCAAGTGCTTCTACGATGCGATGGAGAAACTTGAACGGGCGTATAGCTCATCTCGCAAGTTGTATGATGCCTTGGAAGGTGTTCAATCTGAACTGGGCGCCTCCCAGCCTCAGCAGATTATACAATATGTAGAAGCGTTGCGGCAGAAGATGTCCGGGCCCACACTTGAGTCCGTTTTGAATGGTCTACCGCCAATCACTGTGTCTGTACGGACGTCAGTGAAAGAAGCGGCAGCACTGATGAAAGAGCATCATACCACAGCTCTTTTAGTGCAAGACCAAGGCTCCATCACTGGTATCTTCACAAGTAAGGATGTTGTATTGCGAGTTATTGCCCCAGGATTGGATCCAGCTACCTGCAGTGTTGTGAGGGTTATGACACCTCATCCTGATTTCGCCCCGACTGATATGAGTATTCAAGCTGCTCTTCGAAAAATGCATGGTATGGTTGTTATCTATGCCCCTCCCATTGTTACCTTTTAACACATTTGATAGATGGACATTATCTAAATCTCCCTGTGATGAATGAATCTGGCGAGATTGTCGGTATGGTTGACGTGCTCAAGTTGACATACGCGACATTAGAGCAGGTTTGTATATCCTTGATACAATTGTTGTAGCACTTGTCAGCTTACAGTTGCCTAGATCAATACTATACAAACGAATGAGAATGAAGGGCCGGCTTGGAACAAGTTCTGGCTTTCGATGGACCATGAATCTGATTCTATGGTCTCTGGGGGAGGCCATAGCCAAAACCCCCGTCGATCTATTCTTAGTCCAGATCCAAGGGAGCGTGGAGATAGCGTTCTTCCGAATGAATCGGCCTCGCATCACGGGGAAGATGCTCAGTCGGAATTGATGGACACGCGGCAACTTGCTAACGACGATGCTCCATTCCCGTTCAAGTTCAAAGCTCCCGGTGGCCGTGTCCATCGACTACAAGTCATTCCCTCGGCCGGTGTCGCAGATCTTGTTGCTAATGTTTCGAGTAAACTTGGATCTGAAGTCGAAGCTGTTGGCGGTGAGGCCGTAGTTGAGAACGGCAAACTAAGCAACAGCGGGTATGCACTGAGCTATCTGGACAATGAAGGTGATACTGTCTCCATTACCACGGACCAAGATCTTTTGGATGCCATCGTACAGGCTAGAAAAGTCGGCCGAGATAAGGTTGATCTTTTTGTCCACGACCCCGAGAAGCCCCCATTGGTCGTTCAAGATCCGCAGCCCGCCGTCACAAAACCTCCGACTCCGCCAGAGCCAGTTTTGAGATCGCCTGTATCAGAGGAGGACCAACAAAGCCCGGCAGACCGAGCAAGTCCCCAAAAGGGCCTGGCTCAAATCCTCACACAGCCGTCCACAGATCAACAACTGATAACGGGTGTGCCCAACGAGTTGATTTTACCTGGTGCCATTGTTACTCTGGCTGCTGTTATTCTGGGTGTATTTGTGCTAAGTCGGGCTGGAGGAAAGAGATGATAGCTTCGCCTTGTCTGGTAAACAACTATTCTGGCTATCCAATTCAACCCATTGCTAAACTGAGTCACCTTTCATAGAATCCCCAATTGCCACCCATTACTACATGTTATGTCTAATACCCTTGCTTGACTGCTCCAGATAGTTGTTTCTGTAGATAGACTGCCATTTTACGACGATCCTATCGCTTCAAAGCCGTCAAACAAAGCAAACACCACTACCGCCCATTGGGGACTAGTGCCAAACCTAGAACCAGCACCCTAAACTTTTTTCAAACAAATATCCAGACTAAATATCACTTATCATCCATCCCACTTTCATGCGCTTTGCTGTGAAACAACCTTCACATACGGTCTCTCTGTTTCTCAGGCTTAGCTGCAGTGGCTGTGTGTGCACACATCCTCCATTTCTGCATCTTGCCCTTCATCTTTGACTGGCTTCTTTCTCCTCTTACATTATTAGGCTCTTCCCTGTAACACGGTTAGGCGCGCTGGAGTCTCGCTCCAATTCATTTGCACCCGTGTTTTCTACGCGTGTTACTCGACGTCTACACCCCTGAAATATTTGTTTATACCTCTGGGAAGACTGATTAGCGTAGACAATATGTCGATCCTACCACAAGAGATTCATACCGCTTTGTCACAGCTCCTGTTGGGACTTTCAACAGCAGACAACCTTGTGCGCGCACAGGCCGAGGAGCAGCTGAATAATGAGTGGGTGCAAGGACGTCCAGATGTTTTGCTCATGGGGCTGGCAGAACAATTGCAAGCTGCAGAGGATTCAACTGTAAGTGAGGACCCAATGAGATAGGCCTTTGCATTGTCAATCTCATGTCGTTTTTTGTTTTTAAACGGTTTGGGTTGGATCTAATTTGAATTTTATTTGCTGTTAGACGCGATCATTCGCTGCAGTTATTTTTCGACGGATAGCGGGGCGATCCGTAAAGGATCCAAACTCGACTGATAGCCGCCGATTGTTCTTTACCCTCACACCAGAACAGAGATTAGCCATTCGGCAAATACTACTACAAGCATTAAACGGCGAAAGTGTGTTAAATGTACGGAACAAAGTGGGAGATGCAGTCGCGGCAGTTGCAGAGCAGTACTCTGAAAGCGGTATGAGTGGATTCCCGGTTGCTCTAGGAGGAGCGGCATATTGTTCAAAGCCCGGGTGTACTGATACCATTTGCAACTTAGGGGAGCCATGGCCGGAACTTCTTGGTGTTCTTTTTCAAGCCAGTCAATCGCCCGACACTGGCCTTCGTGAATCGGCATTCCGCATATTTTCGACAACCCCACAGATTATCGAAAAACAGCATGAGGAGACCGTCGTAGGCGTGTTTTCGAAGGGATTCAAAGACGAACATATTTCGGTACATGCAACCCATACACATTGGATTACTCTGTGCTAACGGCCCACGAAAAGGTTCGGATCTCTGCGATGGAAGCTTTCGCGTCTTTTTTCGCTTCCTTACAGAAACGGTCACAATCTAAATACTTTGGCTTGGTGCCGGATCTCTTGAATATTCTCCCCCCACTCAAAGAGCCGAACGAGAGCGAGGAGCTGTCCAAAGCCTTTGTCGCCCTCATTGACATTGCTGAGTTATGCCCCAGGATGTTTAAGCCACTCTTCAACAATCTTGTCAAATTCAGTGTCAGCGTTATCGGTGATAAAGAACTCACTGATCAAGTCAGACAAAACGCACTTGAGCTCATGGCAACCTTTGCCGATTATGCGCCAACAATGTGCAAAAAGGATCCCAACTATGCGCAGGATATGGTAACTCAGTGCCTGAGCTTGATGACTGACGTTGGTATTGATGACGACGATGCATCTGAGTGGGGAGCATCGGAAGATGTAAGTCACTACATTGACTTTCGCTGTGCTTTGCTAACGATCTTAAAAGCTTGACCTTGAAGAAAGCGACAAGAATCATGTTGCTGGCGAGCAATGCATGGACCGTCTTGCAAATAAGCTGGGTGGACACGCTATCCTCCCTCCAACGTTTAACTGGGTGCCGAGAATGATTTCATCTTCTGCATGGCGCGACAGGCATGCAGCTCTCATGGCCATCTCTGCTATCTCAGAAGGCTGTAGTGACCTAATGGTCAACGAGCTGGATCAAGTCCTTGCACTCGTTGTTCCAACCTTGCAGGATCCACATCCTCGCGTGAAATTCGCAGGTTGTAATGCTCTCGGTCAAATGAGTACTGATTTTGCGGGTACCATGCAAGAGAAGTATCATTCCGTGGTCCTTGGCTGTCTCATTCCTTCTCTGAGCTCGGAGCACCCGCGTGTCCAAGCTCATGCTGCGGCTGCTTTAGTTAACTTCTGTGAGGAAGCAGAACCGGTCACTCTGGAGCCTTATCTTGAACAACTGTTGGGACACCTTGTTCAGCTACTTCAAAATCCGAAGAAATTCGTTCAAGGACAAGCCCTGTGCACAATCGCTACAATCGCTGATTCCGCGGAAAGTACATTTGCAAATTATTACGACCGATTAATGCCAATGCTTTTTAACGTCTTGAAAGAAGAGCAGTCTAAGGAATACCGGGAGATTCGAGCAAAGGCTATGGAATGTGCTACGTTGATCGCATTGGCAGTTGGCAAGGAAAAGATGGGGCAGGATGCCTTGGCGCTGGCACAGTTGCTTGCCCATATTCAGCAGAATATCACCGACGCAGATGATCCGCAATCATCCTACCTCCTCCACTGCTGGGGCCGTATGTGCCGTGTTCTAGGAACGGATTTCGTTCCGTATCTTCCTGGAGTTATGCCACCCTTACTTCAAGTTGCTGCTGCTAAAGCAGACGTCCAAATCCTTGACGACGAAACCCAAATTCAAGAAGTTGAACAAGATGGAAAATGGGACTTGCTTCCTCTCAAGGATAAAGTCATTGGAATTAAAACAAGCGTTCTTGAGGACAAGAATGTAGCGATTGAGCTGATCACGATATACGCTCAGGTTCTTGAAGCTGCCTTTGAACCATACGTTGTCGAGCCATTGGAAAAGATCGCCATCCCCGGCCTTGCATTCTTCTTTCATGATCCGGTCAGAGTATCTTGCGCTAAACTTATTCCCCATTTGTTGAATTCATATAAGAAGGCCCATGGGGATCGCTCACCAGAGTTTTATCAACTGTGGTCCAGGACTGCTGAAAGGATCATCGAATGCCTTAGTGCAGAGCCCGCCGTTGATACATTGTCAGAGATGTTCCAATGCTTCTATGAGTCGGTTGAAGTTGCAGGCAAAAATTGTCTAACCCAAGAGCATATGCGTGCGTTCATTGAGGCCACAAGGTCAACTCTTGAGGATTATCAAGTGCGTGTGAAGAGACGCATGGAAGATAAGGCTGAGGTAGAGGAAGGGGACGACGAAGCGCTCGACTACGATTATGAAGCCGAAGAAGACCAAAACCTACTGAGCGACATGAACAAAGCTTTCCACACAGTTTTCAAGAATCACGGTCCATCGTTTTTGCCAGCATGGGAAGGTATCCTACCATTCTATGATGCCTTTGTAGTAACTTCGGAGCCAACGCAACGGCAATGGGCCCTTTGCGTGATCGACGATGTACTCGAATTCTGCGGCGAACAGTCCTGGAACTATAAGGATCACATTCTACAGCCGTTGATTAATGGGATGCGGGATGATTATGCTTCCAACCGACAAGCTGCTTCGTATGGTGTCGGTGTTGCAGCACAAAAGGGTGGCGCTCCGTGGAGTGAGTTTGTGGCCGCAAGTATCCCAACTTTATTCCAGGTGACGCAGCGCGCGGAAGCTAGGTCTGACGACCATGTGTTCGCGACGGAAAATGCATGCGCCAGTATCGCAAAGATCCTACACTTCAACGCCAGCAAGGTGCAAAACCCGCAAGAGGTAGCTGAAAATTGGATTAATACTCTGCCGATTTTGAATGACGAAGAGGCAGCCCCTTACGGCTACTCCTTCCTTGCGCAATTGATTGATCAGTATGCCGTTAACCCTTCCGTCCTACCCTTATCACTAGACCACCTCGCTAACATTTGCTCTCCCATTAGGCGAAATCCCGCAGTCTTTGCGAATGCAGACAAAGCGTTCTCATTTGTCGTCCAAGCACTTGATTTCGAAAGCATCCAAGGTGCAGTTGCTAGCAGAATTGTCGCTTCGGTAAAACAACTCGTAGCGTCGACAAATGTGAATGTGGAGCAAGCGCTGGCCACTGTTCGACCGGAGAAACAGATGATAGTGCGCCGATACTTCCAATGACCGCTGAATGTTTGATATTGTTACCCATTTTGGCTCAGAGCAAACTACCTGTCTCTTTGTATGCCCCAAGCTACCCATCCATCACCCGTGTTGCGTCTTAGCGCACCATAGCCCCATGCCCTTTGTCGATTCCACCGCCTTCTGTCATCCTGTGTTTTCATTTCTAGCAATAAGCAATTGCAGTTGGGAAACGGTGTCTCGCATCCCGAGCTAGATTAGAGCCATACTTCCTGGTGACCTAATTGCTTCCGATTGTTATACCACGACATTGATTGCAACATAACATTCCGCGATAGTTGGCAGCCACAGATATGAACGATTTGGTAGCTAGTATTCCAGCCATATTTCCCTAGCTTGAGCGGGAAGTTTGAAGTTCCTCGTACCTAACAATATTCACGGGTATTTCGGCATTATCTCTCTCGGACAAAGTCCCGTAACTGCCCGGGGTTGACAAAAGATGCGCCCTTTAGATTCAACGGGCGATATTGAACGAGACCTGGTTCCGACTTCATTCCCAACAAGCAAGTAAACTGTGTCTTTTTGAATCATGACCCAAGAATCGAGCTCTCCAGACCTCAAGGCCCGAAAAGTCCTTGTCTTCGGCGCAACAGGCCTTATTGGTTCTAGGATCGTCAACTCTCTGGCAGCGGCGAAATCGAATTTCGAGGCCATTATAGTGTTTACCTCTGCATCTACTTTGGAGAAGAAGCCACACCTTGTTGAATCTCTCAAGAACCGGGGAATTGGTGTTATTACGGGTGATGTGAATAATGAGGATGATGTCCGTGCCGCCTATCAAGGTATCATCAGGCCTACCCCTCCCTCCCAACAAGGCCTCCATGCTGATATATTTTGTCAACTCAAACAAAAGGCGTGGACACCGTCATCAGTGCTCTAGGCAGAGATGTTCTCGCCTCTCAAATTCCTTTGATCCAGCTCGCGGCCTCTTCGCCTTCTGTCAAATGGTTTTTCCCATCAGAATATGGGACGGACATTGGGTATTCTCCGGCTTCCGCGAATGAGAAGCCTCATCAACAGAAACTCAAAGTGAGAGCTGCGTTGCAGGCAGTGAAAGACAAGCTGGTGCATACTTATGTGGTTACCGGTCCGTTTGCAGATCTATATTTGGGCCCGGGTTTACCAGATGCTAGAGGTGGAGCGTTCAGAGTCAAGGAGAGACTTGCCGATTTACTGGGTGATGGCAACGGGCGGATCAGTTTGACCACTATGGATGAGTATGTGTTTTTTTTTTTTTTCCTCTTCTCATTTGTCTCTTGCGAACCCTGCGAGCAAAGAACTGACGGTGCAGCTAGCGTGGGCAAGCTTGTCGTTTCCGCCCTCTTACATCCCACGGCTTCGAAGAATCGAGCATTGAAGGCCAATTCTTTCACTACCACGCCTGTTGAAATTCTCCGTGAGTTTGAACGCCAAACCGGTGACCAGAAATGGGAAAAAATCACATATACGCCGCTCGACGAGCTACATAGGCTAGAAGAAGCAGCCTGGAGGGAAGGCAACCCTGGTAGAGCTACTGTTCTGACTCTAAGGCGGATTTGGACAGAGGGAGGAACGCTGTACGAGAAGAGGGATAACGGAGATATTGGGGAGCCGCAGATGGAAACACTGGAAGAGGCGGTGAGGAGAGCCAT